AAATTAGCATTTAAAATTCCCTACTAACGACACCAAGTTAAAAAAAGATTGAATAAAAAATAACTTAAATACCTCGATTTTTAGTTGTAAAATTAGGTAAAATAGGGCTAAGCTGGTCAGGTTAGCCTCATTTTACTTCTACCAGTACATATTTAAATTAGTAATAGTCTATTGTCTGTGCTCCAACATACCTGTACCTGGTTTACTCCACAAGCAACCAATCAAGCAGCCGGCAGTGGGGTACTAATTGCAGTCTGTGACCGTATTTCATGGTTTACTCCCTGGACAGTCTGGGCTTCCATGTACTCCGCATTATGTGATACCGTTGATGAGATCATGAGTTTAACCAAAGATCTAACCTTTATTTTTGTTATTGGTGACTTCAACCTCCCAGATACCATCTGCACTGACCCAGATCCTCAAAGGATAACGTTATCTTCATGCTACGTCAAGGAAAATTTTGTCATATGAACTCTCTCAGGTGAACAGAGTCTTAAACCATAGGGGAGTTAGCCACAACTTGATCTTCTCAAACGACGAGGATCTCGATGTAAGAAACACTGAGGATGTATTGCTACCAGGAGATACGCAATATTTCACATATCAAAACAGGACGTACATACAAAAACACTTAGAGCGCGTGCACGGCTTGAAAATGGTCGGACGTCAGTTTTCAAGCCGTGCACACGCTCTAAATGTATTTGTGTTTTCGTATGTCCGTCCTGCTTCGATATGTGTAATATTTATTCAACCCCTGATTAATATTATTATGTAATATTCGATTACACATATGGAAAAAGGACGGACATACGAAAACACAAATACATTTAGAGCGTGTGCACGGCTTGAAAACTGACGACCGACCATTTTCAAGCCGTGCACGCGCTCTAAATGTTTTCGTGTATTCGTATGTACGTCCTGTTTCGATATGTGTAGTATTTATTCTACCCTGACGCAATGCAAATGAAGACTTTTCTTATTAAATGTGACAGGACTATAGTTTAGTGTACCACTACGCACCTGACGATGGATTTATCTCCGAAACGGCGGTAGTGGAATATCACCCCTGATTGCGAAGACGGTAAGAATCATATAAATTATTATAATATTTTCATGCAATCTGCCACACTCAAGAAGATGTCTGCCTATTGTACATGTGAGTGCTTCCAAATAATTTCTTAACCCTTTTAGCTTACTCTTCAGCCACATATAGGCCTACTCTAGCTGGAGCTTGCAACCTAAGTCTTAAACTTTTACGTTTTACAGACTATGAATCACAAGTGCAATTCATCAGTATAGGCTATATTTCATCAATATGGCCTAAAGTGTTCCTTTTGGATTCACGCTCATTGGAAAGTGGGGACAATCAAATTTGTGGTTATATTTATCAAAAGTATTGGATTAAGATGCTTGCTCCACACTCAATATTACAAGCAGACAACTGCATTATACATATAGTTGTTTATGTATGATACAAAAGATGTTAGAATATGTTATACAGTATAGTTTTCTTTAATTTGGCATTTCACATTACACTTTGGCTTGCTTAGAAACTCTGTATAGTCCATACAACAGAAATTCACAATTTACAGAAACACACACCTGGGGCTCAACTATACCTCTTTCATTTATATTCTGAAACTGGCAACACATTCAACATGAGAATGGAAGATATATTTACTATAAAATTTACTGTAAAATATATTAAACTTAATAATATAGGCCTACAATAAATTTTTACTTCATATTAAACGACAATCATGGATCATGGTTGAAAAAAATTAAAACTGATGTTTTGTTTTCAACAAATTAGTACTAAATAAAAACAAAACATCAGTTTTAAATTTTTTCAAGACGAAGGCGCCTAACCATAGCCCTCTCTTAAAATTAAAAAATCAAAACTTAAAAATAAATGATAACGTAAACTATCTTGGAATCAAATCAAGCCATCTATCTTGCTAGCTATCTATCTAGCTAACTATCTTGGGTGTTCCATCACCTTAGATGGAATATACATATTGATCATATAACCTCAAGACTTGCGGTAGTATGCTGTCTTATGCGCAGACTACAAAATATAGTGGATCATCTTATCTTGATGAAGGTTTATTATGGCTGCTTTCATAGTGTATTAAGTTATGGCATAGTACTTTGGGGCAACAGCAGTGAAGCAAGCAGAGTCTTTCTACTACAAAAGAGAATTATTAGAATAATATGTAAAACCCATTTTTTAGAACATTGCAGACCACTTTTTATTAATCTTAAAGTTCCCACCCTTACCTCCGTTTATATATGGGAATCAGCCATGATGATATGGAAATTTCCGAAAGTCTTCAAACGCAACCACGAAATACATAATTATAACACCAGAGGCCTACTACAAATTGGAAGAATTTTTGGAGGGTTAAGAGAAGATAGGCCCTACCTGAAAATGAAACACCTTTAACGACCACGGCTGGAAAGCTACTAGTGGGATCATCACAAGTATACAAGTAAGTAAGATCAAATTAATTTAATTTAGTAATCAAGCACCTTATCTTACATATAGGCCTATCTTACATCATACGTCACACGTGTGGATAAAAATTACATAGTGTTATGGGTCTGAAATAAATTTCTAATCCAACTTTGAACAAAGCATTAATATTTAATTAATTATTTTAATGTTAAACAAATACACATAGCCTAATAACATTTAGCCTACAAACAATTAGGCCCTATACATAATAAAAACGCATGAATCATAGGAGTTTACTTATAAGGAACTAATACTATCACGATGTCTTTTTCCATTGTAATTTTACTGATCGATAGATTAAAATAAGTCATACAGTGTTAGCTTACCTAAAATAAAGAGCTAAGTTTAGGCTTACCTAGTATTGACTACTATGTCCACTTATTTAAGAGGTGAAGCGTTTTTCCTTGTTTATCGTTAAAACACAGCAAATAGAGAGACTATGGCATTATTAAATTTCAATTACTTATCATAAAAATGCCCACCCATCATTATTCCCCAAAAATGTTTATGAAACACACATTGAAATATCTTTCTTGTCTGTGTGTTAGCAATAAAATTAAACGTTTAACAGTTATTAATAATCTTTAGATCTTTTTATCGTATCATCACGTATTATCACAAAATCATTCAAGAGAGAACGATGAAATGGTGAATGATATTTGCTAAAACTTTGATGTCATCAGAGGATATATTTGTTAAACTAGAAACTTCTTCGTAAATTTCCTCACTTGATCCACTGGAAGCAAAGGTAATAGATAATACAACCACTGCTGCGGCTCTATACATCAAATTGCATCCAGCTTTTGTGAAAGTTTCTTTCTCATTCAGTGTCAAATCCATTCTTCCTGTACACAAGTAAGACAGCTTACGGAAAATCTCTTGATGATGAAGATAATCTACATCTGTGAAGAGGTTCACACGTCCACCAATATTGTCCAGATTTAAATCAAAATTAATCTTTAATTGCTCCAAAAGAAGGCTAACGTAAGTATATACAGTGGGAATGAAAGCTCGAAAGTTTAACGTTTTCCACACTCTCATTTCTGATCTTTTGATTGAAGCTAATGTCATTAATTTGTTTTCGGCTTCTAAGTATCTTTGAATAGCTTTTGCACTTATTCTGGTCGGTTGAAAAACAACTTTAGAAGCAATTTGAATGCATGATAACATTGCCAAAGACGTCTTAGTACACACTTCTTTTTCAACAGAAGACCATTTTCGATGAAATGAGGTTTCATTTCCATCCCAAACTTTCTCAAATAGATCTTTGAACTGAAGCCGAACAAATCTGTCGAACAGCTCAACTGATAAACAACGAACCTCGTTTTGTTGCTTGAAATATGAACATATGAGAAATATTAACTCAACAACAGGAGTGGTAAGTACTAAACCTGGCTCCATGAACAACTTTTCTTCTACACATATTTTATTCCACAATATCAAGTCCTTCGTCCAATCTGATAGTAAATCCATAGTTGAGGTGGTATTGCATTAATTAGTATCACTGTCTATTGAAGTGATGGTGCTAATTTGTAAAACTTTTTATTTGTTTGTGTGCAATCATTATTGACAACTTTAACCCACAATAATAATGATCAATGGAATCGATCAGTTCCAGTTGTAGGTTATGTTTCACAGGAAGTCATTGTTAGTTAATATCACTGCTACCTAAATTGAGCTTCATACAGATCTAATTGTACTATTGTACTATATTGACATTAACATTAGCCAGAAAAACAATAACGAAAGCAGTAATAAACTATTATTTGAATTGTTAATCATTTCATGGTGTCTATAATCTAACAACCACTACTTAATAATTGACAACTGAATCGACACACTTCCGTTTTTGTTAGTAACTTTCAGTGTTCTATAGGATTATGGTGGTTGATACCAGTGTGTTTTAAATACTGATTCCTTAAATACTGTATGCAAACGAGTAGTTAGGGGTTTATAAAATACCTCCGTTGCAGAAAACACGTATACCGACAGAATTCCCGGTTGACTTATTGAATTTTTATCCTAATAGTCCTAATAACAGAATAACATTTACACTTAAATCAACCCCTAATGAATTAAATTATGCTAATTACTCTTTTTGATTAGCTACAATAAGAATTACTTTAAATACATTTAAAATATGATTCGATTTGAGAAATTCACCAAATTTGAATAACTTATTATATATTTTCTAGAAATAAAAATTTGACCGAAGGGTGTTTTATAGACGTATTTTAATTTTAAGGCTTGGTTTATAACTTATTTTAACAATATTGAATACACAGGAGATAAATAAACAAATACCTAAACCTGTACGATAGATTTATTTTACATTAGAACGTTTCAAATATGTAGTACATCTAATTCGACAGCTGATGTTGGCAAGACTGTTTGGGAGGGGATTAATAGTTATAAAAAAATGAAGTAATGAAGTAAAGTTAGTTTAGTTTTAGTAGTTAACTAGTTAACTAACCAGCCAAACTACACACTCTGACACTAGATAACGTTTAATATCTTAACCTCAATGAAGTAAATGTTTTAACAATTAAATAATTTAGCAGTCACAACCTCATCGATTTTTTAAATAAAAAAAACTAGTAATCGCTGAGTTGAGTTGGTATCGTATCTGTGATTGATGTTGGTATTTCAACTAACCTACCATCACGTATTTTCCAGATGAGTTATGAAGTCAGTCTGGGGTTACTAAGTTTAGTTTGTTTACATTTATCAGTCAAATGATTCATAACATAATATCAAGTATTATACTCTATACATTCTTGAAAGCTGTTTTTTTGCTTAAATATTGAATATTAGTACTATTACATCATGGCAAGATCTTTAATTCCAAGTCAACAAAAACTTGCTGAAAAGCTTACCATTCTAAATGACAGAGGAATTGGAATGTTAACTAGGATATACAATATTAAAAAGGTTAGTATTCCTTACTGTTACAATATCATGCTATAGGCCTAGACCTAGTTTTTATCATTGGTAGGCTAATAGTAGCCTATTTTCACTATAACAAAAGAAGGAACAGAGTGCCCTTGGTTTCATTAAAGGCTTATTTAATTCCATTTACTAACCACCTGTTATACTTTTTTAAATCGCAGAGGATACGCGTCCGGTAACCGGACGTGGATTAGGCGTCCGGCAGTTACTGTCATAACCTAACCTAACCAACCAAACTTGCTGATAATTAAAAAATCAAATGAAGGTTCAATTCTCTTTATAACATAAAATTATAAATGCCAAAAATTCTAACAAAAGATGTACAGTTATGAAGAAATTACATTCAAAGCAAAATCTGTGACAAAAAGTTAAAGTTACCGATGTGATTCGAACCAGGGACCTGTAGGATATCAGCCGAGCACTCTATCCACTACACCACGAACAACGCTGACCAAACATCGTATCGTTGTGGTAATGGCGTTCCGGGACCCCACAACCCGGTGACGTCACTACCGGACGCCTAATCCACGTCTGGTTACCGGACGCGTATCCTCTGTGTTTTTAAATTCTTTTTATTGAAATGGTGACCATACAAAGTACCGGCAGGTATTTTAAGCCAAGTATGAATATAGGATGAGTGGCGCGATCTTGTAGTTTTGTTAGTCACTATTCCTACTAGGCCACTAGGCCGACATATTCCTTAGACAAAGCTGTTAATTAATAGCCCATACAGCTAATGGCAACTAAGGGACCTAGGCCTACACTTTATAATGGTATCCAAATTACATTTTTTCCTTGGTATTATCAATTAGTCTAATTATCAGGATAGTACTGCGGATAGTCATAGTTCTCATTAACTTAGTGTGGATGTTAATCCACACCAGGGAGTATCAAAGATCCAAAGATTTTATTAGGCCATTGAGTTTGTAGCCTACAATAGGCTTTGCGAACTACAAAAATGCACTAAAACTAAATATAAATATGGTTACAGTTTCTTAACTGGGATAACTTACGCTAATATTGATTGAAACTATTGATTTGATTCGTAAACCTTAATGCGATTTTTTCACCATCAGCAAGTTTGGTTGGTTAGGTTAGGTTATGATAGTTTTATTTTATATTTAGATAGGCTACATTAAAAAATATTGATTACTAATCATTATTTTCAATTCTATAGTTTCAATCAATATTAGTGTAGCCCAGTTAAGAAACTGTACCCATAAATACCCTCGCCACAGCAAACCTGCAGACTAAGCGGATTTCCATTTGCCTGATTGAATTTACACTAAAATGTTTCCTTAAAATTAACTGAGGCTATCACATTTATTCCCTATTTGAATACAGTATAGGCTAATTAATTTAACGAGTAAGTTATTTAGGTTTGCTGCAACAGGGATTATACCTAAAACTCTTTTTTAAATGTTAATAATTTAACTTAGTAAGGAATAAATCCATTGTCCTATTCCAAATTTTATCAAAATACCTATGTTCATAAACCAGCAAACTAAACTTACAACAGTTTACTTAAAAGTTATTCTCCAAAAGAATAACATGGGAATTTTGAATTTAAATTTTGTTGGAATTCTCTCCGTAACCATTAGGCGCATAATAACGCTTCAATATACTAAATTATTTGATTTTTTAAGCGCTACAAAATGGGTTGGAAAGAAATAACTAGCCTAAATTTTATGTTTTTTGGGTTGAAAATGGGAAAAACCAATTTTTACCCTATAAAACCCCCCATAAATCCCCGTTCCCATAGTTCGATCATGCTTGTTCGCAAAATCGTTAGAATAAATGTAGGTTTACACGTTTAACCCTCCGAGTGTTATTTGTCGATGCTTCGACACATAACACACTTTGTGTAGTGTTTTGTGTCGATGCATCAACTCACAAACACTGTTTACGGCGAAGACTCTATGACTGACAAAATCGGATTGAACTGGATCGAGTTAGGTATCGTTTTATTTGGCAGATTCAGAGCTTTCTCTGGAGGTCTGTCTGTAAGCGCTTTTCATTTTAGTTCCGAAAATATTGTAGCCAGACAGCTGACGTGCGTATTTGTAAACAGCTTGGTTAACCTCGGACCGATGACTGATGTGTTTTATTACGTTTATCATTGTTTTAGTGTTAAAAATCAAAAGTAGTGATATACGTGGTGCATTATAAGAAGATTTAAGTGATTTTGAAGGGCTGGTTGATGATCCTGAAGAACTAGGTAGTGATATTGATGTAAATTAATAACCAGATTCGTAGCTATGGTTAGGCTATGCATTCTTAGCTATACACTATGTACTGAAATCTGTTTTTTGCCCATAAGTTATTTATTTGCAAATCTACTTCCTTATATTATTATATATTTGTAATCCTCGTAAACTTTAGAACAAAGTGGCTATTTTCAGATATTTATAGGCCTATAATTTATACAATTTCATTGAGCGCAAACTTATTTATTTTTTTTTTTTAAATTTTCCAAAATATTTTTTTTTTTACCTAAAAAATTTTTTTGAAACAAATGTTCCTTATGTTTTATGTATAATATTGAAGCCCATGATTTTCCAAACAAAATGGTATATAGAACAGTATAATTAACATTGTTTTCAAGCTTCTCAGATCCGTTTTAATAAAACCTTGCAAATGAGCAAAAAATAGGCAGACATTAAGGCCAAAACAAGGGACACTCGGAGGGTCAAACCAAATGTCATCAAAATCGAATAATTTTTGCTTGAGTTATCGTGCTAACAGACACATATAATATAATACCTGTAGCTACAAAGGACAGAGACAGGACAAAGGTCAACTCTGCAAGTAATGTCTGACCCCAGTCGAGACTCGACACACGACCGACGCACGTCTACATGTCCGTAATAGCTCAAATAAAAGTAGGCCTACCGCGTATTTTTATGCTTTAATCGTGATGTATCCAAGTGTAAAGTTCGTGTACGTGTTTCAAAACTTCAAAGACACACCCAATAGGGAAGATCTAGAACTTTTATTAGGACTGATGATGGCAATTTATTCTGCCAAAATGCATCTCCTGTAATAGGATACAGCTTTATTAGGACCGACCGGCGGACACAGGTAATTTAACCTTTTATTGAATGTCAATCCGATCCGGAACAACAACAAACAACTTAAAATGAACTAATGTTTAAAAAATGTGACTTTCAGTTCAATTTTTCTACGTAATTAGATATTTGTTGGCAGTTCTAACTGCAGTAAACTCGTTTTTAGGCCCGAAATAAACTATTTACAAAATTTGAAGAAAATCGTCGGAGCCGTTCTCGAGATCTTCGTGCAAGCAAGCATACATACATACATACATACAAGCAAACATTGCTCATATTAGAGTATAGGATATGAATAAATCCGAGGTTAAAGCAGTAGCTAGCAGAAAAGACACCAGTCCCATTTCCATTAGCCTACCTTAAAAAGCCTAAATCAGACATCATTAGTATTAGCGCTCATTATATTTGACTGTTCTATCTATGTATGTACTACCTTGTGTTACTACTTTGTGTTACTTGTGTTAGCCGTGTCACCCGACTGCATATACTGCCCAGGCATTCTCGATGACGTGGAACATACATTTTTCCACTGCTAGCGTTGGGAAAGGCCCCGCCTGGAGGCTCAACAATTAATAGGACTGCTGTCGGTGGACACGGTCATACCGATTATGACGGAGGGTGAGGACAATTGGACCTGTGTGTCACATTATATCCAGGGTATTCTCCACGCCAAGAAGATCGACCTTGACCGGGATGCGGTGTAGGTCATTAAGAATCTAAATGCCAGAAACGGTGCGAGCCCTGAGGGCTTAGGTCACACGTTGACCTGACCTGAAGTAATGTGACAAACAATCCCAGGTCTGTGTCCAACAGAGTAGAGGGGGTTTTTTAGTGAGTAGTCTGACAAGCTCAGGAGTCTCACACTACAGGCTGGCTACCTGTGTGCGTAAAAGCATTTTTACCTCCTCTCCCTTAAAAAAAAAAAAAAAACCTTGTGTTACTGGTTTAACTCTCAACATGTTGATTTCAGGCTTGTGGGGATGCAAAATCAAAACCTGGCTTTTTATCAGACAAAACACTTGAATCATCTATAAAATATATTGTCAGAAGATTTCCAAATATTGACACCAAAGGGGTAAGTTTTAAAAATATTTCAATAAATTTAAATTAAGATAGTAGACATTTATAGATTTATTTAGACCAGTCTAATTCAGTTATGCCTATATTTGTGCATTCTCAGTGTTCGCCAGACAATTTTGTAGTTTGTAACATGTTAAATTTTGCCATGAGATTTTTTTTTTGAGTGTAAGGGGCCGATTTGGCTCCAATGCAGTGACACAAATGTCAATTTGTAAATCCCGCTAACGTTTGAGTCGGAGGCTTCCATTCGCTCAGCGCCGGGTACTCTGTACATGCCCGACTGGACCTGTGCACAAGCGCCATTCCCGACTGTTGTCCCATCCGCAGCTCCTAGAGACAGTCGAGTCCACGACAACGGTCAAAGGGATTCGGTCGGAAGCAGTTGTCTGTAAACTACGTGTGCATGAGACAGACGATTGTCAACCACGCACGGTTTCATGAGGACTAAGGACCACGTTTCTGTATAAGGTATTCATCACCTTGCTTTGAATTAGACATTTGTCGTACAGTTCGTTCAAGTCTAGTACAAGTTCAAGTTTCATTGAAGGTTCTGATAAAGTCAGCTTAAGGTCAATCTTGCTTGCGCTAATTTGTCTGTATATTTAATATTCATCATTGCAGGCATACATTAACATTTTGTTTCTCACATAATTTGATACTTTTACTTGTAATCATTTATTGAACTTTATTGAACAATAATTACGTTCTAAGATATTTACCGTTACTCTCATCCCCCCACAGAGGACGAAACAATTTAACTGTTGTAATCATATTAACTTAACGGCTATAATCAGAGCTAGCTATCCAACGTTTTGTGTTACGAATTATCTGTAAGTAAACAGGTAAATACTGTGCAACATCAAGACGTGTGATTCAATTTAGTTAGCTTTAGTTCTCTGTGGTTTGCCGACAGCATTTAGTTATAGTTAGCGATAGTTCCCTGTGATTCGCCCACAGCATTTAGCTATAGTTAACGATAGTTCCCTGTGGTTCGCCCACAGCACATAGCTATAGTTAGCGAAATTACCCTGTGTTTTGCCCATAGCATTAAGCTATAGTTAGCGATAGTTCCCTGTGGTTTGCCCACAGCACTTACAAATAATAGATCCTGAACTGTGGTCCGCCCACAGCACTCAGTGCCTGATTTAAGGTACTTGCGGCCCTAGGCCAAATTACTTGAGCGGCCCTCGCCCTGTGGTGGAAATTACTTGCGATTGCGGAAGAAATCGTGAATATCTCCTATGCATCAAGGGGACATCATAATCGACACCCATGATCGTGGATGAAATCTTGGGCATCTCTCCTAAATCATGTCAAAACCATCATAGGTATCCGTGACCGCGGCAAAATCATAAACATTCCCTGCGAGCTGCAACGGTGCATCATCTTTGACACTCGCAACTGCGGCGAAATCGTCATCATATCCCGTGATTTGTAACCTTGAGGACATCATCACTGTCACCCGAGACAGCAGTGAAATCGTGAACACCTCCCGCGGGCCGCAATCACGGGGACATCATCATCGACACTCGCAACCTTGGTGAAATCGTGTTAAATAATCTCCCGTAGACTGCGATAATGAGGACATCATCATTGACACCCCCAGCCCTGTCGAAGTCGCGAAAATCTCCCGCGCAATCACAATCATAATCGACACTTGTGACTGCGGCTGAATCCTGAACATCTTCCGCGGGCCGCAATCACGGGGACATCATCATCGATACCCGCGGCCGTGGTGAAATCTTGAACATCTCCCTCAGTCCACAATCACGGAGACATCATTATCATCACCTGCAATCAAGGCAAACTAAGGGTTTTAAAGAAAGATTTTTTTATATATAAAAATGTTTTTTCAATCCTCTGCGGCCTAATGGGCCTAGTGGTAAATCCGGCACTGACAGCACTTGTCGATCCCAAACTGTGGTTCGCCCACAGCATCAAATGTAAGTAGGTTACTACGCTTGTGTTTTTATATAAATATATTTTAGGTGCTGCAGTTTTAGTAGTGACTAATACGTGTGTGTCTTGAATAACGATATTTCAGGTGTTGTAGTTTTAGCAGTTAGGTACTCGTGTGTGCGTGTCTTATATAACTGTATGGTAAGTTGTGTAGGTTTAATGCTTACTAATACTTGCATGTTTTTATTTAACTGTATTGTAGGTGTTGGTATAGTCGTATTTAGCAGATTAGCTTCTTCCCTTTCCCCAAGATCGACGCATCTGTCCCCCACCACTACTGCACCTACCTCCGGACCTGTATTCTATCCTAACTGTGGTTTGCCCACAGCACTCTGTCCCGAACTGTGGTTTGCCTGCAGCACACCTTTCTTTCCATATAGAGAACAAATTTGGCAATGATGATAGCGTGGGTTTCATTGTTTAAGATTTTATATCTTATATTCTTTGTCTGAGCCATGCGTTCAGAATATTAGTTCGCCCTTTACTTTCGATTCGTTAAACATTTTAACCCCTGGAACCGCAACCCAGCGCGAATAGCTATCCGGCAACCGGGTCAAAACCGGGCTTGCATATCTTCCAACGACTTTCGGGAAAATACATCGTAATTTGTAAATAACAATCACGTTTTAATATATATACCATTATAATGACCATTTGTATGTTTTACTTAGTAGGTGCTGAATGGTATAACACTTGTAACATACTTGATTGAGATAACCTAGTTAGTACTTATTCACCCTGGGTGTTTGTAATGTGTATGAGAAAATAATAAGAAGTTTATATCTGGCAACTTCCAATATCAGGTCTTGAAATTTTGCAGAATCTAAGGTTTTCTGCTAGAAGAGCACCGTCCTTTAGGTATATTTTTAGTTTAAGCTGTTGTCTTTTTTTAATTATTTCAAGACATTATTATGCCTCAATGTAAGCCTGATAATATTAAGATAAATATGCCATCATAGGATAATAAAAAAAAATTAAAAATCATTGAGCACTCAGGGATTGAGCTAAGGTAGCTAACATCTTAAATCCAGTATGCTGCAATTCACCTTACTTCCTCCCTCTACATACATACGCATAGTTTATATGGAGAAAGTATTGTTTTGTCAACATTTTTTAGTTTTGGTTTTGTGTGGATGGGTGAAACAATTTTTTTTGGGACAGTTCCAAAAATAATTTATAAGATTTTTTACTTTGTATTTTTGTACATGATTAACTCTAAGTTATATAAGATTTATAGATGTATTAAATTTATTGTATGACCTACTTACCGCAACATCAGTTACAAAAGTAGCGCCGGTTACTTGTTTATTTGACCGTCGCTAAGTTGTGATGAAAAATTATCATATACGAGATATAACCTAAAATGCCAGTATTGGTTTCTAGCAAACCTGTCCACCAGCATTTTTTATTGAAGCAATATCAACATTTGACTGTTAATCATTGTGCCTTTACTTCTCGCGACCTTTGCTACAGTATAAAAAAATAAAACATCTAGGTTTATTTAAGTATTTTATAAATTATTACTTACCGGTACATAGCTGAATTTCGAGCACACGCACAATGGACCTCACTGACATCCCCTTCACAACTGACAAGGAACTGGCGCTCGACTTGCCATATAACGGCTAGAAACATAAATATCGAACCTTGCGCTACTCAACATGTTTAGCTACCTACTCAACATGGAGACCAAGTTTTAAAGCGTTATATATAAGTTTACAGATTATCTATGGTGTAGTACTCATGTTTATACGTTAGGATACGTTGTTTGGATTAATAATAAGCAACTAAAGTTGATTTTTTAACATTAAATTAGGACAAACAGATTTTTAAAGTGGAACAAGACCGTACTGGGGACGTGTTACCAGCGCTACAATTCCGGAAGTTATATTTATTATACATATAAAAAAAATTATTTTACTCAAAATAAGATATCCAGTTACAATGAACAGTGTATTTTGCCTTGTTTTCAATTAAAAACAAATAGTTGAAACCAGATTCAATTCATTTCTCAAACAAGGACAGTGATTGTCCCTAAAAAAAAGTTCACCTATATATCCGTTTTGGGTCACACTGAACACAAAAAGTGGCTTTCAAAGTGATGTTTGTGGGTTGTGTGTGTGGATGTGTACAGAGCTATAAACTTCACCTTTGGTCTGATTTTGATGAAATTTTGTGGGTGCGTACTAATCTATAGTATCTCGAGGTGTTTTTTTAACTGTGATTTTTAGTGGGGATTTTTCCATAAAAACCCCATAAAATATCTTTTTATTTTTCAGCTTCAAGCCATCACACAGATTCGAAGTGAGATCATAAAGTCTTTGTCTCTTTACTATTACACATTTGTAGATCTCTTGGATTTCAAAGATGCCGTTTGTGAACTTCTCACAACAATGGATGCATGTCAAGTGCACCTGGACATTGTAAGTATGTTTTTTTAATATTTGATCAACATGTATTGTTTACATCAATTCATATATTCAGATGTACGTAATAGAAACAGGTAAACATTTTTTTTCAAGAGGTTGGCGGCCTCTCTTAACCTTGCATTTGTCCATCCACATAGGCTAACTGCCCATGCGTAGAACGTATCCAGCAAAGCAAGGGGTGAGCCAGTACAACACGAAGGTGGACTGTAATGATAAAATGTTTGCAGCAGTGACCAGGATCCGAACCCACGACATCGCTGCCTTGGGCCCGAAGTCTGTGACACTACCGACTCACCACAATTATATGATATTTATCTATTCTACCATTCCTTTGTTTGGAGGGTCACTTTTTATCCAGAAAATAAATCACAATACCCCCCTCTAAGCCAAACCTGTAGACTAAGTCAATTTCCATTTGCCTGACTCAAATATTTCCTTAAAACATTAATTGTAATTTGAGTACCAAGGTTTGATGCTACAGGGTAGGCAATAAAAATGTCTTTTATTGAAATGTAATCAAGCTTAGCATTAAATCTAATTACTAAGCTAAATTTGATCAAAATTCATCCATAAACAAGCTTACTACAATAGTTTATTTAACCTCCATAAGAAAAACTTAAATTTAAATTTAGTTTTTAGAAATGTTCTTCGTATTCTCATTAGGTGTACAACAATGATCAATAGGCTATACTAAATTATTTGTTTTAAGCTCTACAAAATAGTTAAGAAAGAAGGTGAAAAATTTTATGATTTTGTGTTGAAATATGGGACCCTATAAACCCTATTTCTGTAGTCTGGTCATGCTAGTTTGCAAACTTGTTCGGATACAATTAGGTTTACTCGAGTTATTGTTCCAACAGTATCTGAACGGAATGTGTTTTTGGTCTCTGGGGATATCAAAACGAAAAAGCATATTGGTCTTGGGTCTAGGTCTTACGTTGAGACCTACATTAATAGCTTATTCCCAGGGCCGATTTGCCAAATAGGCACCGTAGGCACGTGCTTAGGGCACGAGACAATTGGCTTTTTTAAGGGGGCCAATCAAATTTTAAAATACAAGAAAATGGTGGTTGTATTTGCATGCGGTCGTGGTAAACTTCTGATAATCCCCCGTGTAAATATCGTAATCGTCTCCCGCGATCGCGGCAAAATTCTGACTATTTCCCGCGGTCGTGTAGACATGATCGTCCTCCATGATCGTGGCAATATACGAACATATCCCGCGGTCATGAGGAGATTATCATCGTCTACCGTGAATGAGGCAAAAATATGATTTTACCCGCAGTCATGTGGACATGATCATTGTCTTGCGTGATCGCGGTAAAATTCTGATCATCCCTCGCAGCAGTGTGTAGACAATAGACATAGTATCGTCTCCCGAAGTCACGGAAACATCACTGTTGTCATGCGCGATCGTGGCAAATTGAATACTCCAGGTAGAAATTCCAAATTCACGCATAATTCCCGGTTCAATAACACTCAAACATAATTTCCGGCTTTCTCGGTCAGTGGACATTGTGTTATAGGCCTATACGCAATACATTGTATATCGCAATGGGGCGCTACTATTACTTCATACTGTGCCTAGGGCGCTGAGAGGGTCAAAAACGGGCCTGCTTATTCCTCATATGGAAAATTTGCTGAAACCTTAATTTGATCCAAACATGGCTTAACTACATAATCCTCTTGTGAACATTCTTGAGTGGGAAATCTGTTGGTACATATAATTTTAAAATTCTATTTAAATGTGATGTTGGTTTTTAGATAATTTTTTGTGATGATTTTCAACCCTTTTTGTGTTTGGAGTTACTTGCCATGCCATTAATGATACTAAACAGTAGTTTGATTTTATAATAAGCTAACATAAAATGTTACAGTGAACAAACTGTTTTAATCTATAGTAAAAAAAAGATTCAACATATAATGTTGATGTGTAAAACCCCTACAAAGGGCACTCGCTGATCAACATTGTACAGCATACACCTAATAACTTCTCTCCTTGTGTTGTATGTACACTGAACTATATGAAACACTGGAACAAACACCGAATATAAATAGAATTATAAGCAAAAACATGGCAGTAACTTTAGTTCACTAACCAATTGATAAAATGTTTCTCCTCAAATTTGACAAAAGGAACTCACATTGGTGGGTAATGAAAAAATTACATACAAAGTGAATAGCCTACAAATAAAGATCAGGGGTAACAAGTAGCGATGTAATATGCAAGCAGTGGAAGTTTGATGAGTCATGCGTGGGGACCAAAGTGATGAGGATTATACCTTCGTGCAATTTCAGATATTTTCCAAATATGTCTGTTGCTTGCACCCAGAACAAAATAAAAAACTCTCGCGCCCCTGACTATAGACGCGGTACTGACTATCTTGTCTAAATACTAGATATGTTAAATAAATATGTTAAACAGCCAAGACAGATATTTCCTCATATCTTTGGTTTGAAAAATCTATTCTCGTATTGAAATACAACAATTGAACAATAATGCTAATCCACTCATTTCACTGAAAACACATGTTATTACCTTCCTTGTAGCAAACCTAAATACAGTACTTGTTAACATTAATTATGTTTGAATAGAAAAAAATGTGATATTATTAAGGGAATATTTGAGTGAAAATCCAATTGGATGTATGGAAATTCGCTTAGTCTGCAGGTTTGCTGCAGTGGAGATATTTATTTATAATCAATATTCTCAGTCTCATATCGTACAATTTTAAGAAAATTTTGAATATAAAAATTATGAAATGATTCTGATTAGACAATATTTATTTTGAACTCAGTTCTTTGTTTCGTATATAGTGTATTAAAATGTTATTTGATTATAGACATCAAAAACCAAAATGAATTTTGAAAAAAAGAGTGAACTTATTGTAAAAACATAATTCATCACAGAAGCTTAACTGCAATAAGCTGGAGGTTCACACTTGTTTCTAAAAGCTTTCCACCTCTATTTTATCTATAAAATTTAAGTACTCTGTCTAGCAAATAAACAATATTTTTACAAACTGTTGTTCTACAATATTGATTCATATTATTTGACCTTTTATTATTTGTACCTGTTTGTAATTTGGTTTCCAGACCTTAAATTTCGAGCTTACCAAAGCTTATTTGGACCTAGTTGTTGCCTATGTCACTTTAATGATCCTGCTGTCTAAAGTCGAAGATAGGAAAGCAGTCCTAGGACTCTTCAATGCAGCGCATGAAATGGTTCACAATCAAAAGTAAGCCTAAAATGTGTATAGCCTGATAAAAATAGATAAGATTTGTTGAGGTTTCCTGTAAGTATATCTTTTGCAGTTTTTTTACTCAGGTTTTATATTTTTAATTCCTACCATGCAGTTGATGTAGAAACTATTTTGATGTAATTGTGATAGCTTTAATTTTGTGTGTAGCTTTAAATAACATACTTCTTTTTAGTAAGAGTTGGCTTAAGATTTAGAAGTTTGCTATCTAGTTAGACATTCAAACCAAGTAAGCCTGCAAAGAGGTAAATAAGTAAGAGAAGCTGGCTTAAAAGTGGCTTTGATGAAAGGTTAGGCAAGTATTAGTGATATTAGTGATTCTCTCATTTTTCAAACACAAACCCACAATATACATCCTTAGTAGATTTTGTTTGTATATTTTTTAAAATAAGAAAATAAAAATAAAATACTTGTGTTTTACCAATTTTGCAGTGAGTAGTGAATTAATTAATTTTATTTTATTTTATTAATTATTTGTGAGCTATAGCTTTGTTACTCTACACCGCAAATAAAATGTGTACATGAGCAAAGTCTGATTCTTTTAAATAAGCAAATGAAAGACATGGATGAATGAAAATGAGGAGTTGAGTCTGGTTTTTAAATAAAAAAAATCAACTTAAAACATTGAAACTGACTCAGCCTCTTATTTTCTACTCTTCATTTTTTAATATACAAAATAGCTTCAACACCAAAGAAACCTTGTAGGCTTATTAATTGGTAGCCTAGTTGGTATGAATTTTAAACACCATAAAAATATGACAGTTGATATGATGAAATAGCTTTGTCACATAAAGCGGATACATTACCCCTCCACTTTCCTCTGCCAGTTTGATTACGCTTATAGCTTCAAGGGATTTTCTATGTTTATCATGTTACTTATCATCTGTTTTTGTTATTTTACAGTGACTTGAGCTTTCCTCGGCTAGGCCAGATGATCATGGACTATGATCCTCCGTTAAAGAGGCTCTCAGAGGAGTTTGTTCCTCATGCCAAACTTCTCTACTCCGCCCTCATCTCTCTCTGGCCCATATTTCACTCACATAACCTCTCGGCAGACAAGTGGAGGTAAGCGCTATACCTCATTCTATAATTTCTCTAACGATAAGATTTATTTTTATAGCCTATTATGTTTTGTAGTTATGTTCATATTCAAAAATGTATAATCTCAAATTCAAATATTAATAATCTGAATCTTACATTTTTACAACCTTTACTGGAGTAATTGCTTTATAAATCTCTCCTATTATATTTGATAATAATCTCTGCTCTATTCTTTCTGATGCTACTTGGCTGTTGATGTTCTGATAATGAATGTTGATTCAGAACCCCTTCCCCCCTCATTAGCTCAAGATGTGACCTTCACTGTTTCTTACCCAAAACCTCCATTAGTTTCAATCAACGAAATGGTTTTTTGAGTAAAATAACTAAATAACTAACACCCTTTTTAATTGTAAAAGAAGGAGGATATCAACTAGCTTACCTTAAAAGTGTAGCTAGGCCACAGAACATCTAAAAGATACACTGTGCACACAATATTTCGTCCCCTGAGGGACTTTGTCAAGTGTAGAGAAAGAGTTTACAAATCCCCCTCAGGGGACAAAATATTGTGTGCACATTATATCTTTTAGATGTTCTGTGGCCTACCTACACTTTCAAGATAAGCTGCTATCCTCCTTTTTCTACAATTAAAAATCCTGGCCTAGAGCCTTTCCTTGGAACAAAACTAACACACTCTTTTAAAAAGCCTTCTTTCAAGTCTCCTTAAAAGCCTTTGTTATCAATACAAAAAACAATTGGTGTATTGGGATTCTCTATGGATACTATTTCTTATGTAATACATTTTATATATTATTTACCAAAAGTGTATTTGATGGTTGAATTGCGTGACATCAATATGACCCCATTTTATTTGCAGATCTGACCAAAAGTTGAGTTTAGTTGGAAATCCTGGACAGCTGTTGAAACCTTCTCAAACAGAAACAATATCTTGTGAATATCTTTCAATGGAGAACATGGAGAGGTGGATTATATGTAAGTGTACCTGTTGTAAACAATCAACTAGATTTGATGCTCTTTTTCTTACATCAGAAGTAGAGAGAATTTGTGATGTTGAATAGAATTCACCAGAATCCAGAAAGTCTCATGGAAGCCAATATTTAAAAAAATTGCATTTCTAGATTGAACTACAAACATACTATTAATAACCCTGTCTAAGTTTGATCTTTACATGATCAAAATTTCAATCATACTTACAAAACAAGGTTTAAATAATTTTCAGTTTTCCCACACCATCAAAAAATGGAGGGATAACAATAATTAAATAACTTCTTGATCAGCATTGTACGTGTTATTCAATTTACGGAAAGTAAGTAAAAGAAACGTCTTTTAACACTTAAAACATTTGCCTTTTGCCTATTGGGTCTGATGATGATTGGAGTGTCCAATCGAAATTGATCACCACTAACCATCTTTTTGTATATTTACCGTCTTGTGAGTAACAGTATAAGAGTAAATATATGTTCTAAGTGTTATAAGATGTTTCTTATATTTACTTTCCGCAACAACAATTATTCCAGGTGGTACAAATAAACCAAATTAAAATATTTATGTATATTTAAAAATTATTTATACTTTAACCTTATCCCCTTCAAGGTATTCTCTGTTGGAAGCTATGCACTTGTCCCAACGGTTTTTCCAGTATAACATTAGTAAGGCCAGTTTAAACATTAAAGGATTCCATGGCACTCCACACTCATTTATAGTGTCTGAAAAGTAAAAATAATAAAACATCATAATCCCAGGATTGATCCCGGGATCATCTTGGACAAGTCCTGAAATCCCAGGATTGGGTTAAAGCCCCAGGATTGGCTAAAACACATACTATGTAAGCTCGACCAAGGCTATTCGGGTTATTTTTGGGTACCGATACCCCCTTGTATGGAAGAAAAATGTATACCAAACTGTCTCTAAATATGGGCAGATGCCTGCGGGTAGGCCTGGATCCAACAATTGTTATCTTTAAGTGAATACTTACTAAGAGTAAATTAATTTAAGTAAATTACCATTTCAAGAGTTATTTCTATGTGTTGTGGTATATTACAGTTGGATTCATGTTGTGCCACCAAGCTCTACAGCAAGAACAGCCCAATAAACTGTGGCTAAGTGCATTGGAAAACAGCTGGGTTGTTGCCCTTTTCCGCGATGAGGTCATCTACATCCATGCCTACATACAAGGGTTTTTTGACACCATCAAGGGCTATGGCAAAAGAATCTCAGAAGTGAAAGACTGCTACAATCAAGCTATTCAGAAAGCGTAAGCTTTTGTTACCTACCCAATTTGAGATTGTTTGTGTGTAACCCAATGAAAAAAAAAACAAAAAAATCCAACAGCTTTTGTTTTTTTGTTGTTGTAGAAATTAAAAAAAAATTTGCAGCCCGTGTTAATCTTAGGTTAACAAAGAGTCTTGTTGATAGGCCTAAAGGTATACAGTGTAATTGAAAAGTCCCGGAACGGTGTAATATAATTTTTACCTTTATTGATAAAGTATTAAAACTTTGTATATCAATAATAACCATAAATGTCTACTCTTTGAAGCTATAATTACATTTTTACCTCTTGAGGGGGATGACCCACGAGGAGTAAAACGAAATTCTCAAATAGCAGCAGAGGTCAAGTTTGGTATCAAATTAAAGGCCTTATTTAGTAAAACACAATGCCACAAACCCAAACTCAAATGGACAACCAAGTGAAAAATGGCAGCCGTTCAAATATTTCTTTAATCTGCAATTTTGAATCTTTTAACGGCTGCCATTTTTAACCCTGCTGATATTTTCAGCTCAAATTTGCGGCATTGTATTCTACTAATAAAGACCTTTAATGTGATGTGCATATCGTACCTTTGCTTAAATTTATGATTTTTTCCGACTTCTAGCGGGCGCCTCACAGTCAGGGCCGCCCCGAGGGTAATAGACGCCCGGGCGATATTAAAATTTTTGCCCCATCCCCAAAAAAAGTATTTGGGGGGGGTTGGCGTTAATAGACCCAACGTCCAATATATCGGTATCAAACGTTTGGCAAGTATTTTTTATAAACGTAACAACTACACTAAACTAAATTGCTAAAAACATTGAATTTATGACTCACAACGGACATCACGAAACGACTATGAGTTGACGTAAGAGTTTGAGCTTTGAGGTTAGAAACAAGCAAGTGTGGGTGGTGCGTGTGGGCGAATACGTAGTGTGCGTGTCTCGGACTCGCAACATTGCCAACAAGTCACATGCCAGACGTTTGTAGTAATTACGAGTTGTATATTAAATAACGTTGTTTCCCGTAAAATATTTGTTTGCGGTTTGCCGATTAATTTTTATCTTCCAAAGCCTCGGCGCCCCCCTAGCTGCGGCGCCCAGGGCGGTCGCCCTGCTCACAGCATTATAAGCACTGCAAATTCAAGGAATCTTTGATCAGCTTTAATTTTTTACTCCATTGTCCGTTTGAGTTTGTGGCATTGTATTATGTATTTTACTAACGGAGACCTTTAATTTGATACCAAACTTGACCTATGCTGCTATTTAAGAATTTGGTCTGACTCCTCGTGGGCAGTCCCCCTTAAGGGATAAAAAAGTAATAATAACTTAACCCTCCGAGTGTCACGCGTCATAAAAACGACGCACAACACACTTTGTGTAGGGTCACGCGTCGCTTTTAAGACGCACAAACATCGTTTACGGCGAAGGCTCTATGACTGACTGAATCGGATTGAACTGGATCGAGTTAGGTATCGTTCTTTCCGTAATATTCTAAGCTTTCTCCAGAGGTCTGTCTCTAAGCGCTATTCATTTTAGTTCCGAAAATATTGTAGCAGACAGCTGACGTGCGTGTATTTGTAAACAGCTAGGTTCCCCCGGACCGATGACTGATGTGTTTTATTACGTTTATCATTGTTTTAGTGTTAAAAATCAAAAGTAGTGATATACGTGGTGCATTATAAGAAGATTTAAGTGGTTTTGAAGTGCTGGTTGATGATCCTGAAGAAGTAGGTAGTGATATTGATGTAAATTATCAGCCAGATTCCTAGCTATGGTTAGGCTATGCATTCTTAGCTAAACGCTATGTACTGAAATCCGTTTTTCGCTCATAACTTATTTATTTGATAACTTACCTCGCTATATGATTATATATTTGTAATCCTCATTAAATTTAGAACAAAGTGGCTATTTTCAAATATTTATAGGCCTATAATTTATACAATTTCATTGAGCGTGAACTTATTTTTTTTTTGAAAATTTTCGAAATTATATTTTTTTTTACCTAAAAATTTTTTTTTTGAAAAAATGTTCCTTATGTTTTATATATAATATTGAAGCCCATGATTTTCCAAACAAAATGGTTTAAAGAACATTAGAATTAACATTGTTTTAAGCTTCTCAGATCCGTTTTAATAAAACCTTGCAAAGGGGCCAAAAATAGGTGGACATTAAGGCCTAAACTATGGACACTCGGAGGGTTAAAAGCGTAGACATTTATGGCTATATTTGATTTACCAAGTTTCATTCCTTTATCTATAATAGTATAAAATATATTATACTGTTCCGGGACTTTTCAATCGCACTGTGCAGTATACTGTATTAGTGTAGATATCACTTGTAATATGAATAAAAACCAGGTAATATTGGGGAATATTGCCCACTATCTCTTGATATCCAAAACTTTAAATTAAGAAAACAAGCTAATGTGATTGTTATTGTACAACATTCTATTTATTTAAAAACTAGCTCAATTCAAGAGGCTATATTTGCTTACAACTGTAAAGCTGTTGTTGTTCCATTTAATGGAAACTGCTTCAACATCACCTTATGGGTCATTTTCAAGTGTAGAAAGTAGGGTTTTCTCTATGAGGAGGCTATATAATTTCTTACAAATTCAAAATAGCTCACAAACAAAAATTGTATAACCATACAATAAATATAACTTGTATATGTAATAATATATCAGCTTGGCATTTTAACAACTTGTCAATATTTTCCAGTACCTACAAACATAGAGAACGAAGAAAGTTCCTACGCACCGCTTTGAAAGAACTTGGACTGATTTTGACAGACCAGCCAGGCCTTTTGGGACCAAAGGTATGATATTCGTCATACAAATTATGTATCAGGGTGTCCACACAACGGAAATCCCGCGAATTCCGGAAATAATAAGGAAAATTTATGGCGCCGTGGATTTTCTAGGAATTATACAGGAATATCAGCAAAATGTGAGGCGTTTTATTTCATGTAATTAATTAATGTGATACGGAAATAACTAACTGTAAAATTGACAATAGACTATATCAACAAAATGTAATATTGTGCACAATCATAATATTGCGTTATCATAATATTTTATGATTCATTAAATTGTTTGTTTGAAGTTCATTGTTGGTGATGGTGAGTTAATGTTGTTCAAAGGTTCATTCAATTGGTTTTAAACCCAGAAGATACTCAATCTCAGTAAAAACCAGCCATACTGTGGACAACATTAAATAGCTTTAAACAAAAAAGTATAACGTGTCTGCTAGAGATAGACAACATGTTGTGTAACCATTGGGAAAAGGAAGTATTGAAATTAAATTAAAACAGAGTGAGGTGATTAAAAATAATATCAACAAGCGTTGATGTTCGCTTGATTGATAACAATAAGACATTTCATATCTTTGTAAAAAGATTATACCAACTTGTACATAAACATTACAAGACTGATAAAAAAATTGAATTTTACATAAAGAGAACATTCAAATTGTCATTCTATTCATCCATACAAGATTTTCTTCGGACACAGGTTTTCTTCAATACATTAAACAAATTCTAGGCTATTACTTGTGTTTTTTTATATATTATTTTCCCATTCATCTGTTAGTAGCTCATCCTATGTGTCTAGGTTATTATAAAATAGGAAATAAAGTTACCATTTTTGTTATTTATTTAAAACGTTGTCATACTTTTACCAATTAATCATAACAGGGGTATTGTTGTTTTGAAAATAGATTCACTTACTGAAGAAGTACGAGCCTAATCTTGTAGGCTATTGCCATTGTATTCTGATAATTAACAACAATCTTGGTGTGTACCGGTATTGCCTTCTAACAACATTGACAACATCATGACCATCACAAGCATTGTTGTTTGCCATTATGCAGTCCTACTTGGTCTCAAATTATTTAATTTGTCTGATATTTATTGTTGTTTATGATTAAATATGTTTTTATACAATCTAAATCTTAAGTACTAGAATTATGATAGCGACTTTGCTACTGTTATAACCTTGTTGTTTGTAACTCAAGCAATGTACATAGGCCCTACTTTTGACATAGCCTATTGTACTATTATGTAATTAATGACTGAATAAACTACTATTATGACTATTACTAAATAATTATGAATAGTCTTTTGATGCTTTGGAAGAGCTGTAAAATTGACCAAGAAAATGTTATTGTGCCTAAGATAAACTAAAGGTTGATAGATGTTGATGTTAACTTTGCACCTAAAAATACAATAATCTTATTCTGTACTAATCAAATTATGTTTGTCATATTGAAGTTCCTTTATTAATTAATTACTAACTTCCTTTTCAGAAAAATCTTAGTGCATGGTCAAATTTACAGTGATTTCTGTAGGTTCTCTCATGACAAATTTTGTTACCATAAAATTTCTGCAATAATAAACAGATAAGCAACTCTCAAACAACTGAATAAAATGAAATAAATTGTTACACAAGTTGGAGGGATAGTGTCTGGTACTAAACGTATCCAACAGTATGTATTGTTATATTCTTGACATTATATTGAGACTGTATGTGTAATTATTTGTAATGAGCATTCTTTCAGCTTTTCTCTTAACAGCCTTGGGTTTGTGAAGTTTGCATTGTCTTACAATTTATTGATTGTAATAAGTTATCTTTGGGTTTACAGGCCTTGCTCATATACATTGCCCTCTGTTTTGCTCGAGACGAAGTCTATTGGCTTCTCAGACACAATGACAATCCACCTCAACAGAAGAGCAAAGGCAAATCTGCTGAAGACTTGGTGGACAGGCAGCTTCCGGAGTTGCTCTTCCACATGGAGGAACTGAGAGGTGAGCAATTCAAGTACAGGAAAGTGACAATTACCCAAAGCCGGGTCATCTGAAACGTCAGTTAACTGAAAGGAAGAGAGAAACAAATCTTAATTAAATTGCGTACCTATTTAGAAACGGCTGCTTAATTATTTCCTACGAGAATAAATTCTCACCCTGAATACCCAGTTTCCAGTGACAGTTTGCCTGCTATGTACAAATACATAAATGTTGATTCTAACTTACTTTGCTATCTAAGCGTAAATGTGTCGCTTAAAAAAAATTTAGATCTTGCGGTTGAAAGAGGTGCAAATGGTTCAAGATTAGCTTGGGATAATGTAGTTGGAAATATCCTGATATCTGACATGAAATAACCTTGCATTACAAAATGTGTATGTGTGGGTTTATGTCATTTAGCTTCATTTAGCGATAAATGCCAGCATCGGACGTGTTTCTTGTAACCAATAAACGTATCACTGACCTTACCTCGGACGTGGCGGGAGATTATGGTGTCTATTATGGTGGAGATTATAATGAGCCTTGTAGCGGCACACAAGCGAACTACGTATTTATATGCCAGCGCTTACTTAAAAAACCGCTCCCGTATGTAATGTAAGAGCTACTGAACTTTTTTTAATCCAAAAAAACTGTGTTTTGGACCATAAAAAATACTTCAAGTTTGGATTCTGAGATACCTTGATAATGCATGAATGATTCTTCATCACTGTTCACTTTTTGGTAACTAGACCCATGCCTATAATAATATTATATACTTGTAGTTAGACTTAAAGAAACATATAGTACTGAAGATTTGTTTGTTTCATCTACTTGTTCTACAACAATAATCTATTTGGCAGTTCTGGTGCGCAAGTACAGTCAGGTGATTCAACGCTACTATGTCCAGTACCTGGCTGGGTTTGATGCCATCGCACTCAATCAAATGATGCAGAATCTCGCTGTGTGCCCAGAAGATGAGAGCATCATACTGTCTTCCTTATGCAACAATATTGCCAACCTAACTGTCAAACAAGGTTAGTAGGGTTATGATTATCGGGAGGGTTAAATTACAAAATAGTTTACAGTTAAATGTTATACAGTAGCAATATTGAGAATGAGAATGAGAATTTTATTGGTCTTTTAAACATGCAGTTACATGCAATCAGACAAGTCATTTATAATAATCATCTGGTAACAATCAGTTAGGCTAACAGTCCCAGTTTGTAAACTGGGTTGACTTAACTTAAATCACACCATGCACATAACAGGCAAATATAATAAATAAATAGTTAAATAATGGCAACTAAAATAGTAGAACAAATAGTGCACAAACTACTCATATCTACTTTCAAAAACACACCATGCACAATCTACTTAAACTTCAGGCACAGCTACAATCAAAAGCACCTACTTACAATAGCTGTAGGAATTTCAAAAAAATCTTATAGCATACAAAGGATGCACCAATAACAGTTCTCGCAGATTCCGTTTAAACTGACGAATCTCCAGGTTTTGTGCTGAATAAGGCAAAGCATTAAATAGTTTTATTGCTAAGATATCACAGTTTAGAAACTAAGTCTAAAATAAGGTATATCTATTAGATTTTTATTGGTAGTAAATTTTCTAGAGGCTATAGTGCTCGCCCTCAAATTGGATTGAACCCATCCATCTCACGCAATTAATCTTTTGATTCGATATGATTTTATTTAATTTCATATAACTTTATTAATTTAAGTACAATACATATATACAGGAATGGCGTCAAGAGTAATTTAATAAAACTAACTTAACTAAAATGTGTTCATGGACACACACACATAAATATATATTGACAATCAGTGTTTTTGGCCTCTAGGAATATCTAAATGAAGAAGTTAATCGGTTTAATAAAAGTTAATTTAGCTACTTTTCTATAGGGAAATTCGCTAAAAGTAAGGGGGTGATGGATAAAAAGTTATAGAAAATAATATAAAAATGTTATTTTACTCCAGATAAATAGGCCTACTTATATCGAAATATTAGAAAACTAACATTAACTAAAATATGCCGTGGGCAGAGAAATTGACAGAAAAAGGTCAGGGAATGTACTAAATATTTTTTTGTGCGAACCCTGTTGAAGTCGTTCCAGTAAAATTATTTAAATTGTCTATGGTTCCAGTTGAAGATAATGAGTTGTTTGACTTCCGAGCGCTGCGACTGGATTGGCTGCGACTGCAAGCGTATGCTTCGGTTGCAAAAGCTCCTCTCGCTCTAGCAGAGAATAGAGACCTAGCATCACTGCTAGACTCAATCTTGTTCCATACAAAGATGGTCGACTACTTGGACGAAATGATGGTTGAAACATCAGATTTATCCATATTTTGGTTAGTATCTCCTTCATACAATGTTCTTAGGTGGTTTACCTAAGTCAATCTTTAATTTCTCCTACACCTGATTTTGTTACATGCAGTAGACTTCCGATTATCCACGAGTGGATTAACCACTCTGCGGTTTAGCCATGGTGGAAAGAATCAATATAAAACCAATATATGAAAGTTAAATGTATAATGAAATGATATATTCTTTATTGACTTTTCAATTTTTACAAATTATCGACAATTTCATAGCACAGCTAAAATTATAGCTTAATCGGCTAATGAATAGAATACTTATAGCTAACTAAACAAAAGAGACATATTACAATACTTATTTGAAATATTACAACTGAAGAATCTTACTGTTTGTTTAAAAAATCTTCTAAACTATAAAACAGGTTATTGTTCAGTGCAACAATACAATGTATTCTTGAAATCCTTTATAGTGTGTGTGATTTAATTATGGATTCAAGAAAGTTATATACATTTTAAGTGACAAAACTATGTGGCTATTTAGAGTTTTGCTAACGATGGAATTCTATTGAGGTATGGTTCTTATTTTTGATATTTTGATTGTAGGTATTGTTTCCAAATTTTGAAAGATGTTGATTTTTCAAGCTTTAATGTCATATAGGCTACAATACAATTTATACCATATAATTAATATACAGCTACGGCCAAGATATTTAGCATGATGAGCTATCATCTTGCGGACAGACTATTGTTTGGAGTCAGTGGTGGTTCCAAGGGGGGGGGGGTCTGTAGGGGTTAAAGCCCCCCCCCCCCCATTAGGGCTTTGAAAAAAATCAAACATACACTACACGTCATAAGAATGTAAAAGAGGTTTTTGGACACTGTACCAGACGTTAAAAATTCACTGCTTTAAAGACTAAACATTTTTGGGGGTGGACCCTCGGACTCCCCTCCTGATGTGGAACAACCCCGCTAGCCCCCCTTGACGAGGTCCTAGAACCGCCAGTGATTGAAGTTGCTGTTGTTAACTTCCCCGACTGCCGATGAGTCACTGACTAAAACCAATGAGTTACATTTTGTATGTTTTACTTTTTGTTATTACTAGGCCCATACATAAGTTCTCCGATATTATTTATTTTCTAAATAGACATTTGTGAAACAAAGTTAAAAAGTACAACGTGAACACTGCATTTAAATCATTTTATTATTGGCGTTTTTGTTTTAGGTTTTGTTTGCATTATCCATGTTTTCAGCTATCCACAATCACTCAGCCACTCTTTATATTCAATTTACCTTTGTTATTGTTGCCTAAGTTCATGTAGGTAAGATGTTTGAAAATATTTAGCCACTCATTATCGTGGATAATCGAGAGTCTACTGTATTTGATTTTATCTGGGGGAGCGAGCTGGCGTAGTGGTTAGAGCGCGGGACTTCGGTCCGTGAGGTCCCGGGTTCGATCCCCGCCAAATCACCACTGGATTTTATCTAAGTGATAATGCCGCAACCCCTAGGTCTAGCCTGAAGTAATGTGAAAAACAATCCCAGGCTCGTGCCTAGCGTCCTAGGACAAAAAAAAAAAAAAAAAAAAAAAAAAAAAAATTTGATTTTATCTGAGTGTTATATGAGTTATGATATCTTGCAATTACTATTATTTTCTCTATTTAGTTGAATTTAAACATTACAGAACTGTTTATAAATTGTCATGATTGTTTGATATTGTTTGTGACAAACAACATTTTGAGAATGCTAGATCACAGCAAAGCTATTTATGAATGAACTAATGTACCTCAAGGCGAATTTAAAACAAGTGTCAATTGGAGATCACAAAATAAGAAAAAAACAGGTCTTATCGGAAAATAAAGATGATATCTAATATGAAAAGGCATACAGAAAATATATTTCTAGGAAGGTGTTTTTCTAGTACACACTTTGTATATTTTATTTTAATCTCAAGTCTGAGATCAGGCTAGAACAAGAACAATTCTTGTACATAGCTGAAAAACCGCCCAGCCATAAGTCATTGGCCCCAACAATATCAAAAAATTACAGCTTTATAGATATAGCATTTACAATCATTTTCTTTTTTTAGTTTTTACAGCAAGATCTTTGAGGACCAGTTTCACATGTGCTTGGAATTCCCAGCCCAGAACCGTTATATTGTTGCATTCCCACTCATCTGCAACCATTTTCAGAGCTGCACTCATGAACTCTGCCCAGAAGAGGTAATTTTTACTTTATAAAACAATTTGGACGTGTAATACTTGGTTAGGCTAATAAAAATCCAAACTTGTCACTTTTGATCGTATTTGAGGTAATCTTCAATTATCTCAACTCCACTTAGATTTGAAACGAGCCAGCAAAAATCAATAAAAACAAATATTATAAACTAAACCAATTTTATGTCATAAATTATATTTATTTCACTTAAAATTAAAACTAATTGGCTGAATAGAAATCTTGAAAAGTAATAGAGTTCAACAAGCTTACCTGAGAAAATTAAAGTGTATTTTGTCAAAATATTACCATACAAAGTAGTACTACCACGGGAAAATAAGCAGAAACTCCTCTTAAGTAATCATATCATTACAAGATCATTTCACCTTTGTTTTTGATCCAGAGTGTTTTAGAAAACCTATAATATATAAGTAAAATGTGTCGTTTTGCCTTATTACAAAAGTAATTTTTTACTATCTTAGTTCGAGTGTACGCTGAGATAAGGTGAAGGTCAGTGATACTTTTTTTTGACCACAAGAAACATATCCGATGACTGAAGGTTATGGTCCTAATACAATGAGTGAGGGTAAAGTGCAGAAATGGATTAGGGAAAGTAAAACTGGTTGTGGAAACCTTTGTCCTTCCTGGTCTTCTATGAGAAGTCCGGGCACCCACCTTTAACACAATACAGTAGAACCCCTCATATCTGGCCACCATGGGACCAAGCCCCTGGCCGGATAAACCAACCTACTACTACCCATTATTACTATATTTTCAAGGCCATTTTGGAACTCTCAAACTCGTTTGCTCTTTACCCTCACTTATTGTTATTTAGGGCAAATAGCTCCAGTCATCAATAATTCAATAATTTAAAAATTGTCTAGACACAGTAAAGTCATCAAGTAAAGTAAACATCAGCTACAGAGCTGTAAATGGTGCTGTTCTGTTCACAAGTGATACACCGGCAAGGGGTCTAGTTGCGGTGTACACACTAACTAGGAAGCAATACGATCAAATGGCCCTTATATATAACAAAATTTCCCTCCTACAAAACTATTTACATATTTTAAAACTTAATTTTATATTTAATTTGTGTAATAATTACTATATTTATTAATAATTCATTGATTTTTATTAAGCATGCAATATGCTTGTCAAATTTTTTTTATAGTATCAAGTGATCACTGTTTGTATTAGTATCTAAGAATCAATCAGTCAATCAATGTTCCAACAATGACAGTGTATAGTGTCTGTTTATAATTAGGGACAATTTTGATTTTATTTTTAGCGTCACCATATTCGGGAAAGAAGCCTTTCTGTGGTCAACATGTTCCTTGATGAAATGGCAAAGGAAGCAAAGAACATCATTACAACTATCTGTGATGAGCAATGCACAATGAGTGATAAGGTACTTGTGATATCTTAAATGTGATAGCATAGGAAACAGGATGTATCTCAGTGATAATCAACTAGCTGCCTAAACCCATGCATCACAACAGCTCATAATGCAAAATACAACAGAATAGTAACACAACAGTTATTGCTAATAATTAGAAGTCTGGGGGTGGTAACATTTTGGTTTTGGGTTGAGCTCATAATAAATACTTATGTTCAAAAGTTACATTTTTTATTAATATTTTTCCTTCATTGTGGATGTAGCCTCCGGATTGCCAAATAATATTAAAAAGGTTTAAATACCTGCTATCAAGGAGTCGAAACTAGTTGCAACTGCAATTAAATGGATTGCTTGATAGCAGGTATTTAAACCTTTTTAATAATATTTTTCCATGTTTTTGTGAACAAGTTCGCCTTCTCCTCATACTTCTTTCACCTTCTAATCTAAAAAAAAAAACTCAAGTCACTTCAACTTTAATAATTTTACCTTTTTCTTGTTAAGCAATATGTTACATATCTTACAATTGAAATAACTACACTTTACTATGGTAACTCTAATCGTTAAGAGCCAAATGAGACAGAATGAACCCTATTTTAAAAATCAGTCCAAAATCTCTATTCTCAAGTACAATTTGTTTGTAATACAATAAGGAATCTACTGCAAATAGATTCTCACTATTATTAATTTGGTTTGAAATAAATTACAAAATGTATATTTTCTTCTTAGAGGTTTTACTAGAATTGATTGCAATGTTGTGACCATCCCCTGCGGTCATGTCAATGCAATTCACATACCATTCCCGTTTTCCTGTCGACTGGAAACTTATCTTGTTGCAAAAAATCTTGAGTGTTTTTGGTACTCGTCTGACCAACAGACAGTTTGAACAGGTTAAAATTGCCCGATTTTGAGTCTTTACCCGTGGACCCCTTGCAATAATTCAACGAAAGTAACAAGTTATGATTAACAATTATTGTATAAAATGAAACCTCCTTCATAGCAGATCTTCTACTCTTATACTTAAAAACACCATGATTGACTAATGATTCAATGCTTATAGATGTATAAGTATTAAATTTAAGTTTAGTGATTGTACTAAAACTGGGGCTACTTTTAGGGAGAAATGTGTAAAACCCCCTTTCTCATTAATACAACTCTAAGGTAATTTCTGAAAATGTACCTGATTTCTAAACTCTGTTGCCATCCAAAGACAAAGAAAAAGACAATTTTGGGCTTAAGAAACTATGTAAATTCATTAAAGAAACTTTCTGAATCATAATTAAGAATCTAGAGGTTCCAGATTTTTAAATAAATTCCTTGCAAATGCCCTTACTTTTAATAATCCATTATCTTAAAATCTGACATGAACTATAAAATTATGATAGCCTACACCCTGAATGCTTAGTTTTATTTCACACAGTTAGGTAAACAGTACATATATGGCTTCTTTTCTGTTTTTTTGTAGTTAATTTTTTGTCATTGTGTGTTTAGAACGTTTTTTTTCTTGTTAGATGGTTATTTTGTTAACTATATTCGACCATTTATAAATATTTGTTGAATGTTGTAGCTACTTCCCAAACACTGTGCAATGCTTATATCTCAAGTGGTTAACCGTAAGAAGAAGGAAAAAAACAAGAAAAATATTTTGGAAATTCCAAAACCAGGAGATGAGAGTTACAGGAAAACAAGAGAAGAATTGACAACGTAAGCCGATTAGTTGTACTGCTTTTTCTCAAATCTTTTCTATTTTCAAGTTTTCTATTTTTACCGAGCACACGGAAAACATTGTTCTATTGATGTCAGAATCAGCCAAACGTTGCAAAAGTAGTTTTTTTTTTTTTTTTTTTTTTTTTTGAAGGGAGAGGAGGGAAAATGCTTTTACGCACACAGGTAGCCAGCCTGTAGTGTGAGACTCCTGAATCTATCGCAGACTACTCACTAAAAAAACCCCTCTACTCTGTTGGACACAGACCTGGAATTGTTTGTCACATTACTTCAAGTCAGGCCAACATGTTACCTAAGCCCTCAGGGCTCTCACCGTTTATGGCATTTGGATACTTTATGACCTACACCGCATCCCGGTCAAGGTCGAGCTTCTTGGCGCGGAGAATACCCTGGATGTAATGTGACACACAGGTCCAATTGTCCTCACCCTCCGTCATTATCGGTATGACCGTGTCCACCGACAGCAGTCCTAATAACTGTTGAGCCTCCAGGCGGGGCCTTTCCCAACGCTGGCAGTGGAAAAAGGTATGTTCCACGTCATCGGGAATGCCTGGGCAGTATATGCAATCGGGTGACACGGCTTTGCCCATCCTGAACAGGTACGACCGGAAAAAGCCGTGACCCGTCAGAAATTGGATGAGGTAGAAGTCCACCTCTCCGCACCGCCGATTAACCCAAGGTTGGACTTGCTTGGACTTGGTTGCAAAAGTAGTAAGGTTCATTGTGATGCCATTAGTTGAATTAAGTTTTAAGTTTTCATAAAACCATCGTTAAAATGGTTTTTTTCTCAAGTAAAAATGTTTCTGTTTGTTAAAAATCAAATATCTTGCATTTAATCTCTCTTGACTTTCAGGATGGATAAACTACACATGGCCCTGACAGAGCTGTGTTATGCGCTTAACTACTGTTCCACCATCAATGTGTGGGAGTATACATTTGCCCCGCGCGAGTACCTTCATCAACACCTGGAGAATCGCTTTGCCCGGGCGCTTGTAGGAATGGTCATGTTCAACCCAGACACCAGTGAGATTGCCAAACCATCAGAGCTTCTGGCTAGTGTACGGGCTTACATGAACGTTCTTCAGACTGTCGAAAATTATGGTGGGTAACATTCAGTCCTAGTTAATCTGTAATATTTTATAAAGTTTTCGCTGAGTAGTAAAGTAGTCAAGGCGGGTTTTCCTAGTTGCCGAATTTGTCTGGCAAATATGGCTCAGGGTTTGTGAATGTCTTTCAAGTCAGTTAGGCACCAGTTTTCCCTGCTGAATTCAGCCGATAGGAAAATGCCTGTACTTGACCCTAGTGTGTTCAGTTGGTCATGAAAACTTAGCCAAATTGGGTAGCTAGGAAAGCCCGCCTCTATAATGCTCACCTGACAATCCTGAGAAAAGTCAGTAACTTTTTAATGGTTAAAAACTAAGAAAAACTTCACAGACTACTTTACAATGACTTCAGAATCGGATGCCTTTATGCATAAGGGAACCAAGCGACGCAGATGGGAAAATGAGCTATTAAGAGTCAAAGTTTAACATGGGTCCTAAATTATAAAAAAACCCAAACCCTTCAAAAATGGTTTAGATGTGTGTAGTTGTGATATATGTAATTATTTATCAAGAGAACTACATATTATTAATGTTTTTTTTTTTTGCTGATATAAGGAAAAATGGCGATTGGTTCTTTTACGCTTATTTGTGAATGTTTCAACAGTTACATACAATGATACAGGCCAAATGGCGCTTGGTTCCTCATGCATGGTTCCTTGGTTCCTTTATGCATAATATAAATTATTGGTTATTTTAGGTTGTGTTTACAAATTGTAGTGAATAGAATGTTGACATATGGTTCTCTAATACAAAATAGATTATCCCACACAGAGAAAGGAATATTATAGGTTGCTTTATGATGGATGGTGAAAATTGTTGGCGCTTGGTTCCGTATTGCAAAATAGACTATCCCACATAGAGAAACACGATTTTTATATATTATTTTTTATAATTTTGTCAAAAGTCATACAACTATGGGAATTTTTCTGGGTATAGATTCTGGTATGTTCTTCAAGATGGCAGCACCAGCTAATTTTTTTATAATTTGGCACTTGGTTCCCATATGCATATAGGCGTCCAATCAATTTCCAACCAATTTGAATCCCTTGGAAAATATTTGGAAGCTATAGATTTTTAATCCAACAACAGTAGGTGGCAAGCAGCTCCCTATTAGTGAGCTTTTTACTAAACCACAGATTTGGATAGAAGTAATCAGAGGATGTTATAGGACCTTGTCAAGGATGGGGCTTGGGGGGTGTGGAGCACAATTTTGAACTTTCAAAGCCGCTTGGTGACTTTCTAAAGCCATTTTTAACACCTAAAACTGTGCCCAATTATCTATAAACTCCCATTTCACCTGCTGTTTGTCTTGAGCAAGTAGAGATTTAAAAAAAATTAACTATGACATATGACAATTGCACTTATGAATTTCAAAACACACTGTAGACTGCGGCCATATCCTCCTAAAAACCGTTTGGTGACTTTCTAAAGCCATTTTAAACGTTTAGATCTGTGTGCAAAACCTCCCATTCCCCCATTTATTTGTCATGAACAATTAGACATTTTCAAAACTTAATAGGACTATGACGAATGCATTCATAAATCTCAAAACATATTCTAGGCTACGACCATATCCTCCTAAAAAATGTTTACTGGCTTTCTAAAGCCTTGACGTCAATAGCTCATTGAATCGTGAATTTCACTTCATGTTTCAGTACATGTTTTCAAAACATGTACCGAAACATGAAGTGAAATTCACGATTCAATGAGCTATTAACGTAAGTAATCTAGTCTTACAATAATATCTACAGCTCAGGGGCTTAACAATGAATTTAAATTTCTAAAGCCATTATTAATGATTATTTTTGTGTCCAACTGTCCAAAAACCTCCCATTTCACCTGTTTTATGTCATGCAAGCAAGTAGACATGTGACCTTAAGTTTTTCTCCATTTCATAGATCTGTCACAATATGTATAGTATCAAATTCAGTAATAGCATTGACTATATAAACTTAAACACTAGTGTTTATATAGTCATGAGGCTACTGGTGCTAACGCTGATGGCTGATGATAACATAGAAATTTTCTTCGAGCGGGATTGACGGTAAGGCCTGCCCTACGTAACCCGACTAAGACTTCCTCTAGATGTTTTAGGTGGTCCTCAAAACTCTTCCCTGTACACCAGAAGGTTGTTCAGATAATTAAACACAAATTTGAATTTCACATAATGAAAAATCGATTCTAGAAGCCTAGTGAGGGTTTGGGCTCCCACAGCTAAACCCATCGGTACCCGGTTGAACTGATACAAGTTCCAGGGTACATAGAAAGCAGTGAGAGGTTGAGACTCCGCCTTCAAAGGTATCTGATGATAAGCCTGGTTAGATCGAATACTTGGCCTTACCGAACCCGTCAAAAGCCGAGTGCAAATCAGGGAGAGGGACAGAGACAATTTCAATCTGAGCGTACAGTTTCCTATAGTCCGAAACCATCCTAGACTTCCCTTTTGGTTTCAGTTCTAGAAATGCTGGACTGACATAACTTAAGCGCGAAGGCTCAGTCACCCCATTATCGAACAATTCATTAATTCCTCTCAAGGTCTCCATCTTGGTAGGAGCTAACTTGTTTGCATGAGAGTAAGTAGTAAGTAACTGATATCTTCCACTTACTTTGTATAAATTAACGTGTTTGGATTGCAGTTCACATAGATATCACCAGAGTTTTCAACAATGCCCTTCTACAGCAAACGCAACAGATTGATAGTCATGGAGAGAAAACTGTAGCAGCACTCTACACACAGTGGTACGTGTCATATAAAACAAGTATAAATAGCGTTTCTTAAAATTTAATATGAAATTTAAGTTTTATCTGGCAAGAAGTTTGTCTGTTGTTGGAATGCTCTCTTATTGAAAGAAATGTGAAATAATTACAACAAGGGTTTAACATAGTAATAAACAGAGGAAACAGGTTGAAGCAAAGTTTTCTTATACACTACACTCCCGATTGACCGAGGTTGGTCCAAGACTTCCTCGGTTACTGAGAATCTCAGATGACATGGATTTAGATTTTCAGGTTACCACATTTGGAAGTCAAATACTTTAAAAATCTTGTTTTATCAATAAAATATAATCAAATAGAATTTTTATGCACACTTTTTTTAAATAGCCGCAGTGTTATTAAAAAAAAATACAAAAACATGTTAAAGACTTCTTAAATTCTCTTTAAAACCTTTAAATATGGTATCACAATTATGGTTAACCAACAGGTACAATAAAAAAAACACATAAGGTGGATATTTCTAGTTTAAAAAGTATAAAATTATTATTTTTTTTAGTTTTACCTGAGATATACTTGACACAATGACGTCAACATCAAAACATTGTAATCACAAAGACTGGCAAAAAGCAATGCGAGCTGGTAATGCCCAAGCGAAAATGCCACTGCTATTGTTTACATTTTCCTGACAGCTGGTCCATCTTAGCAACTGTTAGTGGCCAAACTAAAAATTAAGTAATCATTTTGTAAACTGGTTTATGCCTTAAATAAATAAATTAAATTGAACCTAGTAGTGTGAGATTTTCATTTTCTAGGTGATTGTGCATATTTTTTTAATTGAAATTTTGGCAAATCACAAATCAATTGTTATTTTTACTTTATATAAAAAAAAAAAAAAAAAAACATTAACAATGTAATTATTGTTTTCTGCCCAAAAATTTAAAGTAATATAATATTTCTCTGAAACAACCTCGGATAATCTGAGGGATTGAATGATTGTGAGTGAACTGTATTTTACTAAATGCTTGAATAACAAAATGTGATATGAATGACGTTTATGCAAATCCATGTAAACTTGGAAATCATCCAACAAGACGTATCTGTAATATTATTTAGTATATTACTACACTAAAAATGTATTTAATTAAATCTCAAGTTATATGGACAAAACTCATCTGCCTTACCTACAAAGTGCGTAAATGTGTCCTGATTTCCCATTGTGCATTGGTTGCATCTAACAAGCCATATTACTCTTCAGGTATTCTGAAGTTCTGCTGAGACGGGTGAGTGCAGGCAACATCTGTTTCTCTATGAACCAACGAGCTTTCATCAGCCTAACTGCGGAAGGTGCAATACCTTTCAATGCTGAGGAGTTTTCTGACATCAATGAGCTACGAGCTCTGGCCGAGCTTATCGGTCCCTACGGCATGAAACTGCTCAACGAAACTCTCATGTGGCACATAGCCAGCCAGGTTCAAGAGCTCAAGGTATATATGTTCAATGTTTTATTTGAAATGTATAGAATATGAATAATAATGATGACACAAGTGGTTAATATTAATCAAAACAGGTGGTTTGTCGAGAAGTTTATCCTGAAGTACAGATAAGTAATCAACATGATGCACATTAGGTCAGTTTTGGCAAAATTCCATGCAGAATGAAATCACAAAGTGAGGACTAGGGTGAGTGTACCAGTGAATGACCCTATAAGTGTGACTTTCCACATGTATCCGACATGGAAAACTAGGCTATTAATCTACAGTGTAAAGAATAGTTTCAACTTCTTGTCCGTATTCTCATGTACTTCCTAATAATAAAACTTAATGTATTATGTCCAAACAGAGTATTGAAAAATACAATTTATCACATAGGCCTATAGAGCATTGCACCAGTGAATGACCTCATATTATTTGATGTTTGAAATTCTATTTACCTACTTTTCACCAATCAACCGGTTCTTGATTCTCAATTTGAAGCTGGACACCCTTTGGTTAGTAAAAATAATAGTGACGGGTCGGTACTTTACGTCAAATGTCGGTTCCGCTGGTTCTTGGCAAAAGAACCGTAACCGAGAATCGATGATGAAATGTCGGTACCAGTACTGGTACCTAACCGGTACCGGTACCGACTTTGAAAAACCAACCCATCACTAAAAAATAACCATTTCGTTAAATATAGATTCTACTGAGTGGCCACATTTCATCTAATAAATTACCGTAACCTTTAATCCACAGTCACATTCTGGCTATACCTTGTATCCATGTGGTAAAAAACACATGTGTGTTTTGTGTTCCTAGCAAGCACTTAATCCATCAGAAAACATCGTCATCACAACTCACACAATCATTGTTAAATACATCAATAAACATCGTGTTACAGAAACTTGTTGCGGGGAATAAAGAGGTTTTGGTAGCCCTTCGCACAAACTTCGACAAACCAGAAATAATGAAAGAACAGTTCAGGAAACTTCAGCGTAAGTACCATTTCATTTTTTTTTTTTTGAGCTTACATACTTAATTATAATCATTTAGACATTTTAAAACTTAACTGCTTAAGAAGAGTACAATTTTAAGTAAAAAGATTAAAAAGATAGATAATGCTAGTCAAGTTTTTTACAAGTTATTTTGAATATTTATCATAAAGATAAATAAGAGAAAATTTACAATCTTCATCTTATAAATTTGATTAATATACAACGGTGAATGAATTTTTTAAGACCTCGTTTCCTGTGTTGTTATAGAAATTTAATTAATTGATAAATCTAAGGTCTTACCTTAGCAATCCTATTACTTTATTTATTAACATGCGTGTACTTATACTTTATTATTGTACTATCCGATATTAAGAAGTGTGGGATAACGCCACTTTTAGCCGGTAACTGTCAAAATCATTCAGGATTGTAGGTTGAGGTTATGTTGACTTTGACTACGGAATGAAAAAATATGGTAGTCAAAGTCCTAAGTCAAACATCCGTAGTTAAAGCCAACATAACCTCAACCTGCAATCCTGAATAATTTTGACAGTTGCCGGCAACGTGTTCCCAGACTAAAGTGAGGTTATCCCACACTTCAATAAACCATGGTTTTTGTCCTAAATCTTCGTACCATTTTTGTGTCGGATGTAATTTGTAATGTTAAATGTGAATATACTATCTACAAAACCCATTGGGTGGATTCTACTACAAGTATTTACAACTTATTAACAATTTATTTATTCTTGTTATCAATTTGTTAACTATTAAATACAGTAGGACTATCTCAAAACTGAAGGGAGTTTTACAAGTAAGCAAGGTTTGAATTATCAAGGTGTTGTACAGAAATGTTTTTAAGATACTGAGGACAGGGTGTTGAATTTTGACAATGATGTTAAGTCACAACCTTCATTACTCAACTTTTACAAACTAAATCTTATAACAATCTACTGTCCATATACAGTACATTATTTGGGAGAAACGTAAGTATAACTTTTTGTACTGTATAAACCAAATTAACAACAAGAATTTAGGTTCGGAACATAAAAGATATAATACTATAACAATGAAACCGTTACTGATTTGTTTTATGGCACATTCATGCCTACCCACTTTACATTTGAACCTTATTGCATTGTCAAGTTTTGATGTTTTACAGATGTAGACAACGTCCTGCAGAGAATGACAATTGTTGGAGTGATTCTGAGCTTCAGGCAGCTCGCTCAAGGAGCTCTAGTTGATGTCTTGGAGGAGAGAATTCCTTTTCTACTCAGCTCAATCCTTGACTTCAGGCATCATCTTCCCTCAGGAGATCCCATGGTAGGTTCCAACAAGACCCTAGACCATCTGACCCTAATGCATGTACCAGACTTGCCATGGAAATGTACTGTTCCTGTGTGGAAAGTATCAAGCTAAACAATTTATGAGCCGGTTCAATAAAGAATGAACTGTACTGATAAATGTTAGTGGTTGTTGTCCTGATAAGGACCCTGCTGTCCTGATAAATGTAAGTGGTGGCACCAGGACCCTGCTGTACTGATAAATGTTAGTGGTGACAACAGGACCCTACTGCCCCGATGAGGACCCTGCTGTCCTGATAAATGTTAGTGGTGGCACAAGGACCCTGCTGTCCTGATAAATGTTAGTGGTGGCACCAGGACTCTGCTGTACTGATAAATGTTAGTGGTGGCACCAGGACTCTGCTGTACTGATAAATGTTAGTGGTGGCACAAGGACCCTGCTGTCCTGATAAATGTTAGTGGTGGCACCAGGACTCTGCTGTACTGATAAATGTTAGTGGTGGCACCAGGACTCTGCTGTACTGATAAATGTTAGTGGTGGCACCAGGACCCTGCTGTCCTGATAAATGTTAGTGGTGACACCAGGACCCTACTGCCCTGATGAGGACCCTGCTGTCCTGATACATGTTAGTGGTGGCACCAGGACCCTACTGCCCTGATGAGGACCCTAGTGTCCTGATACATGTTAGTGGTGGCACCAGGACCCTACTGCCCTGATGAGGACCATGCTGTCCTGAAAGGGACCCTGCTGTCCTGATACATGTTAGTGGTGGCACCAGGACCCTGCTGTCCTCGGGCTACTGACTGAGACACCGATTCACCAATAGATGTATTTTAAATTGTCAGAGCTACTAGAACATGAATTATATTAGTGCTATAAAACTGAAATTTGTTCTAAAATCTACAACTAAGAGCAACACTAAATCTAACTAAGTATAAGCTTAACCTACATTAGAAATCTTTCAAATAATTTATGCTGGATGCATATAACAATCAAAATCCTCCTAGTTAAACCTACCTGTACAATTTTCTACTCAAGATGTTGGCAGTAAGTTCATTAACTAATAATTGCAGAGAGATTTTGATACATCACATTACATATGTGAATAAGCATTTAAAGATTAAACTGAGTCCTCGATTTCCTGGAGTCAGTGGGTAAGTCAGCATTAAGAATTTGGGTTTCCGAAATATTGCTTTTACAGAAATATCTGTAGTATAATAGAGGTGAAGTTGTAAAATCAAAACATTTTTGTTTCAAGATCGTCAGTGAAATGGCCTCTGCTGCTGGTCTGACATGCAAAGTAGATCCAACTCTTGCAGCTGCTCTTCGCAATCAAAAGAATGGTAATTAAAATTAATTAATGGAATCAATTACTGCTCTTCAACTGTGCATGTAGAATAATTTCACTCTATCAAGTAGGCAATTCTATATATTTATTTTACTAAGCTAGGTAAAGTAGAACCTCGATTCTCCATTATCCAGGGTAATTTAAGGGAAAGGAGACCACGAATACCTGAAAACTTCAGTTAATCCAGTATGGTATAAAAATATGACAGGCCCATAAAAAACACCGGGATACTGTAATTAATGTCATAATTTTGATTTTTACATCAACATAATACAATATTGGGTAATCGTGATATTTTTATGTCATTAACCTTGGTTTGGTTATAAAAATGTTCAGTTTAAAATCACAGATTCCTCAAACTTGACAAAAAGATTGCTAATCGCTGTACTGCAATAAATCTAAAAAAAAAAAAAAAACAAAACAGAAAGTCTTGTAAGCTACTGCTAGTGATTGGCTACCAGTAAATGCTGTTTGAGAACAGAGGAATGTCGATGGTAATGATCAATTAGCATTGATGTTGCCCGTGACTCATTAAAAGTATAAAATAATACTACTTAAAATAATAACAACACTAAAAGAAGATAAAGATGACTAGTACATAAAAACATAATTTTTCTTTCTCTTTGTTCTACTGTTATTTCTTGAGTATAATCTGTTTCTTATACAAAGATATTTAAAGATTTTTTTTCTAGACACTTAAATTGTATTTATAATATAAATTGCAAACACTTGAAAATGAAATGCCCTATTCTAAATCAAAACCAATATTTACATACAATTTAGGTCATCCTTCTGATTATATATATTAACTAAACAAATATTTAAAACACGTGTTTACGTATTTTACGTGTTTATCACCCTAATTTTTAATTATTTAAAAATATTTGAAATTGTCTCTGTCGGTCGGGACACTAGGTTGGATATCCCGAGGAGTCCGATATGAGGGGTTCTACTGTATTGCTATTGACCCAGTTAATCTAGGTTCTACTGACATAATTTAACTACAGTTTTCAATATGTTTTTTACAAAAATTTTTAACATATTTTTTAAATTTTTATTTTAAGTCTTGATTTTAATTTTAACATTAAGTTATTATAAACGTCTTAGAGAAGAGATAAAAATCCTAATAATTATGCAATGTAAAAGTTTTTATTATTTTGTTTTTAATGAATAAATATTCTTTTATGGGTGGAAAATTACAATACAGTAGTTTAATATTTATTTATTTTAGAGAATTAGTTAAGGTTTATCAACTTTTTAGGTTGAGTTATATTAAGACCTAGTATTCTAATGTTCATTAATTTCAAGGCCTACTGTTAATCATTAATATTTTAAATACAGAAACAGACGAAGATGAACATCTGTTGGCGTGTTTGTTGATGGTGTTTGTGGCAGTTTCCATTCCCAAGTTGGCTCGCAACGACAACTCATTCTACCGAGCGTCGTTGGAAGGTCACGCCAACAATATCCACTGCATGGCTGCAGCAGTCAACAATATCTTTGGAGCTTTGTTTACAATCTGCGGCCAAGGAGATATAGAAGACCGCATGAAGGAGTTTCTTGCGGTATTTGTCTACTATTTAATTAACAAAGTTAAGCTTTAATAGAGTTTTGACTCATTGAGGCCGGGACACACTTAAACGCGCCGTCACACGGCCGAGCTGAGTCCATGACATGGACTTCTGTTGGTGACGGTGATAGGAAAACACACTGTTCCGTTACTACTCCGAGTGACAGCCGTCATCATTGTCTCAAGAGTCAGTTCAACTAAAATATATCCTTAAAAATGTCATATTTATTACCTATTTAAATAACATTAGTTTAACGAGTTCTTAGGTTTGCTGCTACATGGAAGGCAATAAGGTGTTTTTTGTCCAAACATTAATAGCATAGGATGAGATAAATAAAATAAATAGAAAAATAAACCATAGTATCATTTTTTAATAAAAAAGGTCATGTTTTTAGGAAAAAGCAATGAATTAAATAAATATATATATAGGATGGAGAGGACACAGCTAACTCACCTGATGAAAGGTTGCAGACTAGTCAAAGAACACAAACATTTCGCCTCTTTCAGAGGCCTACTTCTGAAGAAGCCTCTGAAAGAGGCGAAATATCAAGTATTATTATGTGTGTGTTTTATGTGTTCTTTGACTCGTCTGCAACCTTTCATCAGGTGAGTTAGCTGTGTCCTCTCCATCCTATATATATATTTTTTAAATAAAAAAATTATCTAAAAAGGGTACTAGGTCTATGGTTTTTTCTATCGATTTAAATTATGGCACAAAAATACTTCAGTGCCTATATAGGCCATAGAAACTGATAAAATAAAAATACAATCTGATAAATATAAAACATAATAGTGTGTGTTCATATAAATATATATATGAATTTGTGAATTTCATGTTTCACGAGGCCGCACCGACACCGTCAAAAAGTAAACTAAACTAGTCCGTGACAGTGCGGTCTCGGCGCGGGTAGCAAACACTGCGACAGTCCTGGCGCGGATCGGTGGTGTGTGTCCCTACACGTTTGAATGCCTTGTTTTAGTTCTCGCCGCAGCACGGCCGAGTATGTCGGCACGGGTGCGGTGAAGTGTGTCCCGGCCTTAAAACAGCAAAAGTATTTATTAGGTTCACATTCAATTTTTGTATGTATTATTGGGGGAAAAGTTCTATTTTCTTCTGCAACCTTTTTACTTGGTGCCTAAGATTAGGTTTTCATTGTTTTAGTATGAATTCAGATTTCAAAATTGATACCAGATTCTAAATCGAATTCTAAATAAAGCAGAAGGTCAACTCAAGGTTTTGTTGGCCTCATAAGAGCTTGGTTGACTTTTTATTATTTTGCAGTTTTAAAATAATTCTTCATTCTGCCAGCTTATTAGGCTCTATTTTTTTTAAGTTTAACATTTTAAAAAGTAAAGTAGTACTGTAAGTACAGTAAAGTAGTAAGTAAAGTAAAGTTTTACTGTTTAATTATGACTCCATTTAAATTTACTATCCTTTTAGCGAATTCCCCATATAGGGAATAAGCTTTAATGTAGGTCTTATTAAAGTGGGAATAAATATGTTTTATTTATGGAAATGTAGTAAAAATGTAATCAGACAAGTTCAAATTCGCTTAGTCTGCAGGTTTGCTGCGTCGGGGTTTTTCACACAAAAAAATTACCTGGAGCCTGTTTTATAATAAAATTCAAGTTACAAGTTATAGCTTGAAACTTGTAATTTCTATTAGATTTGCATTGGGCGATCAGCTGATTTACTAATAATATTAGTTTGTAGTTTATTATGAAACAGGCCCTTGGTCAGATGTTTACACAATTATAGTTGTGTATACAAGAAAAAGTAGTAATCATACGTACAAAATTACTCGCATATAAGCTAACAGCATTGATTTTTGCAGTATTTTATTTAATCTCACTTCACTCTTATTAAAATTGGCGGTTTTGCTTGGTTTGACAGCTTGCCTCTTCCAGTTTATTGAGGTTGGGACAAGAAGCAGACAGAGAAATCACAAAGAACAGAGAGTCGGTTTACTTACTCCTGGACCAGGTTAGTGAAGTCTCATTGCGTTCAGAGAGTTTTGGTTCAGGTTTAGCTAATTTTAAATAAAAAGGGGGTATCTTTACATGAAAAAAAATTACAGCTCTTATAAAAAAATTGTTAACTACTTTCTTGGGGTTATAGAGAGCAGTCTGAATTGTAATGATACGTGGTCTAATCACATTGAAAATGGCCTACCATGCAAAACATGTAGGCTATGTCTGGAGCACTTAGTGTTTATAGCTTTCATAATATTTTAAGATTAAAAAAAACTAATAAGGCATATGTTTAGGAGAAACATGTAACTTTGGAAAGCGACTCTTTGTATTTCATATAATATGCTACAATGCTATGAATTTATTGGCTGTATAATGTGTCAGTTTAGTCCAAACGCCTCAAATTTTTGATTGCTGGTTGATTTTGCTCCGGCCACCTATTCACGTTTTATTCCAAACAGTTGCAATTTGCGCTATTGTTTGTTTTGAAGAATTAGTAGTTATGATTTTATATTTTTATGTTTATTTTAGTTGCAAATTGTTGTGTTTGAAGGATTATTTAGTATTTTAAGGATATAAATATTGTAAGGATATAAATTTATTAGTGACTATGTGTCCTCACCTTGTACCCCTTAGCACAGATAGTGCAAATAGTTATCCCATATTTAATGTTGGTTGTTTCAGATTGTTCAAGAATCTCCATTCCTCACTATGGACCTTCTAGAGTCGTGTTTTCCTTACGCTCTGATCCGAAATGCCTACCACGCTGTTTATAAACAGGAACATTCTCAGGCATAAATGTTAACACTTCAAACCTTTCTTTGTAAATATTTCAACCATATACATAAAATGTTGTTTCTGGCAGTCAATTCATTTGTACATTGGTAGGTGAGTTTATATTAATATTCAGAAGAGAACTATTTCTTATTGTTCTTTTTGAAATAAATTATTAGTTTTGCTTCATTTAGCATCTCCGTATGGTGAAATATCTCCGTATATTTATTATTTATAACATAGTAGTTTAAAGCAATGATTAGTAAGGTTATGTGAAAGGATATAAATTTAATGAGAATGGTTGAGCAAAGGTTCTGTACATAAATGGACAAATGGTATGCTGTGTTTAAAATGAATTTTTAAGTTAATATGGAAAATCAATTTATTCTCAAAATCATTAATACTATTTGGTATAAGTAATACATCACAAAAAAACTGTAAACTTTTAGATTTTAGCCCTTAACTTTTTTTTTAAAGTAAAATGGTATACCAAAATATAAAAACACATATATTGGTTCAAATTTGAAAAGTCATGTTTAAAAGTTTGTTTTTAAAATATATCATTATTTTACATTTTCTATTTTAATCACTTTAATCTTTATTCAGTCCATATTATTAATTTAACATATTGCTCTCAAAATAACCAAGGGGGGGTGGCTCTTTTCTTGGAAGTATCCATTAAGTTTATTTTTTAAGAAAATATTTATTGTTTACTCCAAAACTAAAGACATCCCAACAAATGTTAAAATTTTGCAAAAAGATGAGAACCTTTGCCAGGCAGTTGCCAATTGAATTATCTTTATGTTTAGTTGCAGGTTGTTCTCCGAGTTGTAATACTAAGATTAATGTAAGGATTCCAAGTACCTGTGTTTTTTATCGAATCGTATATTGTAATAAACATTATGTTTTACAACTGACCTAGTAAAACTACTTGCATAGCCATTCTTACCTATAACTTACGTAAAACAAATTATATCACATTGCTTTTTCTATTAGTTTGCATTTATTTGGAATTATTTATTCACTCAATTTCTTATTTATAAAGCACATTTGGCATAATGTTTAAAGCATTAACCACCAAAATAAACATTGATATTTGTTATGATATCTCAATTATTTATTCTATTGAACTGCACGTTTCCATAATATTTATTTATGTTATTAAGCTATGATTGAATGAGTTGTATAACATAATACATTAGAACATACATTTGTCAAGCATTTGTAAGATTTAGAATAAATTAATTGTTTATCACTCAAAAAATTGTGTGTAGCCTATTTCATACCTCATGAGTTTTAAGTGATTGTTAAGTTTTTTGAGTTAATAAGAGATAAGATAATTGATTTCCAAAAATAATACAAGTACAATGGTACCATTTAGTGGCTGAAAAACAACAATACAGTAATGGAAAAGATCCCCTCAAAGACTGTTTCTCCCTTATCTCGTCTTTCTTGTGGCTCATTACTTCCCATAAAAAAACTTTAGATGGAAAAATAAATTATCCGTACTTAACATAACAAGACTCAAAGAAATATGTACAGCTACGCTAATAGATTTTAAAAAAAGGAGAGCTAACTAAGGGAAGCTAACTAATCTTATATATTAAAATTTGGTAGGGTTTTTTTATTCGCAGATTCTGAATCAACCACTTGAGGGATTGTCATGATTCTTATGTTGAAAGAAAGACAACTTTGAGAGGAGAAAGGGAATGTCTAAGCTATAATTTTCATTTTGCTTTTCTGTTTTATTTTGAAAAATTGTAAAGGTAAAAGGCCCAGGAGGTAGGGGGGCCTCCCTAAATCCGCCACTGCTTGGACAGGTCACAGCGCACAATAGGTGTGCTGTGTGACCTGTCCAAGGCTTTTGACTGTGTTGATCATGATATATTGCTAGTAAAATTAAGTAGACATGGAATAAAAAATGTGGAATTAAAATGGTTCATTTTATATTTAAAAAGCCGTAAACAAAGAATTATATTACAGAAATGCAAACTAAATGTAAGTCAGGAGTTAGGGCCTATACACGCTACGGAGTTCCTCAAGGTTCCATTCTAGGACCTTGTTTATTTTTAATTTATGATTTATGTAATGTTACAAAAATGCATACTATTCAATATGCAGAAGATACTGCTATAATCGGCACCGAACAAAAAACATTGGATTTTAAGCAAGACTTAATTACTAATCAGTTTCAACTCCTCGGGGACTGGTTAACAGTAAATGGTAAATCTAAGACTGTGTCAGGCACAACTAATTCACTTTTCAGTTGCTAATGAGAATAGAGAGACATTGTTGTAAATTCAAACCAAAGATCAATATATTCTCAAAGTCAAAACTCAGTCAATTACCTGGGAATTGATATGGGCTGGCAACTAAATTGGCAAACGCACATTAATAATTTTTTATCAAAGAGACTCAGATAAGCTACATTTGTTCTTCAGGTAATTCGAGATACTAAAAATTTAGACACACAATTAAGCAGTAAACCATGCTTATTTTTCTTCCATCATGAATTACCCTTTAATCGTATGGGGTTCTTTGAGTCATGCCAAATTTTTACCCTCCAAAAAAGTATAGTTAGAGTCTTAGCCAAAGTTTCTCGAATTTTTCACTGTAAAGAGTTTTTCATTCGGTTGAAAATTCCTACTTTGTATACTTCTTACATCTTTAAGCTGGCTTTAATGGTTAAAAGTGATTTTGACACATTCATGGAAGATCAACATGAGCATCCTAATAACACTAGATTTAAAAACAATATAAAACCGGTTCAACACAGACTTAAAAGTTTTCCATTATCTCCTCAGTACATGGGCCCAAAAATATATAACAAATTACTTTCTTCAATTAGGGACACTGATTAATTCCCTACATTCAAAAAGGAGTTCAAAAACTTTAATTTGGGAAGGCCTTTTACTCCATTGGAGCTCACGGAAGCTGTGTAGAGGTTCAGGCTCAGCATAAGAACTTCTATTCTACTAAAATACTACGAACTAAAATTCTTTTCAAAAAGTTAGAATATTTGGGAGTAAAGGGATTAGCCCTGGCATGGTTTAAAAGTTATTTAAGCAACAGAACTCAAGTAGTATCAATTAATAACGTAATTAGTGATCAAATAAATGTAGATTTTGGAATTATTCAAGGTTCTACATTGGGGCCTTTACTATTTTTAATTTACATAAATAACATAGATAAAATTAATATTTCTGGAAAAATATTTTTGTTTGCAGATGACACAGCGGTAATCTTTAGGGCACGTACTTGGGAAGAGGTTTTTAATATTGCATCATCAGAATTACAAATATTAAAAAGATGGTTCTCAGAAAACATTTTAACAATGAATGTCAGTAAAACAAAATGTTTGCCTATCGCACTTCGTCCCGCTAGCGAGCCGCCCGCCGAACTCAGACTAACCTTGCACTCATGTGGCACCGCAGGCAGCGATTGCAACTGCCAAATTATTGAAACTGTGTCGCAGTATAAATACCTGGGCATTATAATGGATTCTAAATTGAAATGGGAAAGTCATATACATTTTTTAAAAACAAAACTTAGAAAAATGATTTATGTTTTTTACCAATTAGGTTAAATTTTACGACATGAAGAAATTAAAAGAATTTATTACGCCTACGTTCAATCTCATCTGCAGTATGGTTTAATTGCTTGGGGAGGGGCTTATTCATCAGTAATTGAACCTTTGTTCGTAATTCAAAAATCAATAATTAGAGCTGCGTTAAGAAAACCGAGACGTTATTCTACTGATCATCTGTTCAAAGAATCCCAGTTTTTATCAATAAGGCAGCTATATGTTAAAGATTTATTAGCTTATTCATACATTCATTTAGACCTTATCACCTCGCCAGTAGTTCATAACTATCATACCAGAAACTCAGTGATGATAGGATTACGGGTCCCAAGAGTTCTCAAATCAATCAATTTAACAAATTCCTTTTACATTGCTAATTGCTTGTTGCGTAATATTCCTCCAGAAATTAGGGACCTGCGAGTGTCACTGAGTGTATATAAGAGGGTTATCGCTAATTGGCTGATGGAGATAGGCCTTGACAATACAGAGTCGCTTATCAGCCCAGAATATCTCGTTTAGACCTAACCATCTGATAACTGGACTATCTATTGTACTTTCTACAGCACTCTTTACTTGACGGAATCCACGCCTCAGTAAAAAATTTGGTTTGAAGGAAAAAAGTTATGCTTTAATCGGATGTATTGCAAACAATGTGCACCCCTTGTTATTGATTGCACGTTGCATATGGTTTTTTAGGTTATTTTATAACTGTTATAGTATTAATTGTATAGTGTTATTTTACCAAGTTATTATTAGTTCTTTTTTTTATGTGTATTGTGAAGTGTGAAGAACTTTTATTTTGACAGCAGACAGCTAAGGACTCTATCACGCACAGGTCATTGTGACCCATGTGATATTTTTTATTTTTTGTATTTATTGCTGCAAAACAGTTTGTAATAAATAAAGAATTTTCTCTCTCTCTATTCTATTTTTAGTATAGAGACCAGAATGGCAAATCACCTGTCTCTGAATATAATGGTGATTTATTGTAAAATAAGTAAATAAATATATACAGGGTGTTTTTTTAAAAACTTGCATCTTTATTTATGTAAAAACCGCAATAGATAGAAATATGCAGTTTGCGGGAATCATCTATTGACGTAGGGGGACCAATTGTTTTGAATTCAACGTTACATTCACATTCCCCCCCTTTCCCCCCCTGCCACCAACTTATTTTTTTTAAATAGCAAGGTACCCCTTGTGACATATCAAATAAAAGAGCATAAAAAGAAAATGTTTGATGAAAAAAAATTGAAAATCGGTTCATAAATTTGTGAGATATTCCCCCCCTCACCCCCCCGGAACTTAATTTTTTTTTAATAGCAAAGTACCCCTTGTGACATATCAAATGAAAGAGCATGAAAAAAGAAAATTTTTGGTGAAAAAATTTAAAATCGGCTCATGAATTTGTGAGATAATCACCCCCCTTTTCCCCTACCCATAACTTGTTTTTTAATAGCAAGGTACCCGCCCTTGTGACATATCAAATGAAAAATAAATTTCGCCAAAATTTTTCTTTTTTCATGCTCTTTCATTTGATATGTCACAAGGGGTACTTTGCTATTAAAAAAAAATTAAGTTCCGGGGGGGTGAGGGGGGGAATATCTCACAAATTTATGAACCGATTTTCAATTTTTTTTCATCAAACATTTTCTTTTTTATGCTCTTTTATTTGATATGTCACAAGGGGTACCTTGCTATTTAAAAAAAATAAGTTGGTGGCAGGGGGGGAAAGGGGGGGAATGTGAATGTAACGTTGAATTCAAAACAATTGGTCCCCCTACGTCAATAGATGATTCCCGCAAACTGCATATTTCTATCTATTGCGGTTTTTACATAAATAAAGATGCAAGTTTTTAAAAAAACACCCTGTATGAATTTGAACGGATGGTGTTTTTGGCCTCTGGAGATATCAAAACAAAAAAGTAAATCGGTCCTGGGTCCAGGTCTTACCATGAGACCTACGGTATAGCTCATTCCCCATATGGGAAATTCGCTAATACAGTAGAGTCCTGCATACTCGGCGTAATGTGGACTGGATGGGTACCGAGTTTGTGAAATGCTGGGTTATCTGGAACTAAGGTTAAAAATAAGATCAATACAATTGTTAAGCTTTTTAACCGCCTTTTTCATTTATATTTATATTACGTTATATTAAGTCAGTAGTAAGTCATCAGATATAGTACAACAAATCCTTAGTAGGAGTTGCAAATAATTTGACTTGAGTCTATGATTCAGACTCAAAAAATCACTAATATTCTGAGCCAGGTGATGGCCGAATTATCCAGACTCCCGGGTTATCGAGTGCCGAGTTTGCGGGACTCTACCGTATTCCCTATACGGGGAATTCGCTAAAATATACACAATAACTATTGTAGATGGGTAGAAAAATATTTTTTACCCGGCAAGTGCTGCAATTCCTTGGAATAATGACGAACTAGTAGCAATGTCCCTGGATGGTACAGATCAGTCTAGGAATGTAAAACTAAACCTTAGTAAAATTAAAATTTCAGTCTAAACAGTTCTCTTACTTTTTTGCATGAAATATAGGTCAACAATGAACAATTTTAAAACTTGATGTAAAAATAAATCACATATATTTTAGCACTAACATAACATTGGCAAAAATATAACAAAGACAACAATAACAAAGTAATCCTAAATTAAGAGCTTAACATAGCAGTTTTAATCAGTTGACGTGATGGTGGTAAAAATCTAATCTGGAGAAATGGTAGGCTCAGAAGGTTGGAGTCTTGACAGCAAAACTTGGAACATATGTTTGGCTTTGTGCTGAAAACATCAATCCAGTGGTTGGTTATACAATTAAAGAATGTTTTTTTTTCAAATCAATTGAATCAATCAAATATTCTTTATTCATAAAGTTATAATTAAATAATTATGACCATTCATTACAAAGGATTTATATTGTAAAACTAAAACAAGTTTTTTAAGTGTATAAAAATCAGAAAATCTTAAGGTTACTTTTACATCAGAGTAAAATTAGATACCTGGGATTCAAATGAACGTTTCAAGATTACATTAAAAAATTCTTTGTTGGAATGAAACGGGTTTCTTGTCAATAAGTGTTTTAGTAAGCTCTTGAATCTATTTGTGTTATTTTCTTTTTTTTAGTGAAATTGGTAATTTTTGAAGAAGTTTTAATCCTGCATATGTAGGTTTTTTTGTGTAGAATTCTAAATTAGGCTATGTCTAGGAAGGTTAATTAGAAAGTGTGTGTTATATTTACTTGCAGTGGATAGTAAATTAAATAGTTTTACAAACATATCTGTCTCATACATATACAAACTGTAAACTGTTAACACACACAATTCAGGAAAGATATTTTGAACTGAATCTGTCCTTTTTAATTCCATGATAACTCTAATAGCTTTTTCTAGTTTCATAAGTATTGTATCCAAATTTGCCTTAGTTGTTGATAAATGGCGATTCCATAGGATATGTGGGCGTGAATTTAAGAATAATAGATTATTCTAAGAGTTTCCAAGTTGCAAACCTTGGACAACAGCTGTAAGGCATGAATGCCAGATGATAATTTATTTACTATAAAGTTTATGAGACTATCCCAACATAGATACAAACAAATTTACAAATAAATTTGAGATACAAACAAATTTTGAAACAATATCCCCTCTTGCAGCAAACCTACAGACTAAGCAAATTTACAATTGCCTAGTTGGATTTTCACAAAAATATTTCCTTAAAATTGTCAGGTTTATTCCCTAGTACCCGGGGACCGAGCTTTGCTTGGGGAAAATGATTAGTATACTCTGAGAGTCATTTATCCTTTAATTGCTCCTTTTTTCAGAATATTTTTAATCAGTAAAATAGAAATATCATAGTTGACTTTCTTTATGTAACAGCAGTTATGATTGTTATGTACTGTACAAATTTTGTTTATAAAGAGTGATTCTAAATTAATGTTACACTTTTGAAACTCTAAAAAAATGAAAAACCATACAAACTATCATCACGGGGTGAGAATCAATTGAAAGAGGAGATAGTTGCAAGATTAGCCTCTACAGACATTTTTAGATTTTAACTACGGTTTAAAATTAATTACAGAGCTTAAAATCTATGTAACTCGTGGAATTAAAAATTATGTATGCAATAGAAGATGATTTCATAAAAAAATTACACAAGATTATTGCTAAAAAAACTATAAATGCTCTATGAGCCCCTCTGGCTGCAGAGCATACACTCATTCCATAATTGAAGTCGTCCTAAACCCTAAAACACGGAAAGCATTTTGCTTTTTGAAGGTTCCTCGCAGCTTACAATAATGGCGGCCAACAATAACTAAGTGGTAAATTATGGAGCTAATTGGCCCCTAACGGTATTACTTAAAGCTTTTGACAATTCAACGTAGATATGAAGTTTTAAGATTTAGAGGGGTAAAAGTGTGTAATTATTTTAAAATTGTAGTTAGAATCTAAAAAGTCTGTAGAGGCTAATTTTTTGGCAATTATGTTTACCAAAGTGGTGTAAAACAAAACTTTAGAATGTCCTCTTTCGATTGATTCTCGCCCCGTGTTAGGGAAGTTAGGAACTTCATCAGAAGGTAGAAGACTGGCAGTTAACTGGGACAAAATATTAAGTTTTCTGTTTTGTGTTATGTGTGTTACCAAAGCTAATCTGGACTCTGTCTACCAGGTAAGCTAGCTGATCCCTATCCTTGTACATAATAATCCTTATCAGCCAATTGGCCTTTCCTTAACTTCTTAATATCTAATTTGTGCTTCTCATGGTTATACAAATCAAAAATTTGTCGGATTCAGACAAGAAAACTGCTAATAACTTGTCTACAAGCCCATATTTTGTATAAACAATTCTTCCAATGATATACCTGCATTATATGTACTCCGGCCGACGTCTGAACTATTAGCTGACTGCTTCCGTCCCCCACCAGGTCCAAGAACTGTAGTCCGTGTACTGGAGCAGCTGTATTGCGAACTCCTCGCTCTACCCACTCTTTGCCTATCCACTTGTACACCAACAATGCCTGGGTGAAATGACACTTACTGTGAAACCAGTTAACTGGTCTTTAAATACAAAGCTGTCTTACAAACAACTCTAAAAAGAACTATTCTGGAGAAATCAAATTTTGTAAACTTAGGAAATTATTTGTCAAAATAACTTTTTAGTCCTCTAAGTGTGTTAGAGGAGAATTGTTATGAGCTGTGTAAATAAATACTCTTTAAGAAAATTGAAGACTCAAATAGTTACATAGTTTAAATGAGCTGTGGTTTCAACAACAAAGCATGACGTTTTGAACACCGGTTGTGGTTTTCATCAGTCTCGTTTGAGGCTGTGCACAAAGTTAAGGGAAATTTTGCATACAGATCTTGGTGTGACTAAACGAGATAACTGATAGAGGACGTCTCTGAGACTACCAAGGAAAGCAGCATATCTTGGTACTCTTAATCTTAACAAGAGAAAAGTAGGAAACTCCTCAACTTACATCACTGTCTCTAAGGAAACTGATGAACACCCACTGTCGGTCTTGTTGTGCATATGTGTACGGTCTCCGTAACCCACATATTCCTTTTTTTAAGTTGTTTCTGCATACACATCTTGTCAATAGCCATGGATCTTAATAGACCCCCAGGTTCCCACAGAAACCTTATCGCACAACAGGGTTCATACTTGGAGGGCAGCATAGATTATCTATTGTATGATTTTTGGCTACTATGACCAGACTTAATTGCATTCGGCAAGATAAAAATGTTATGTTTTTCGTTGGGACTTAGAACTCATGTTGTTATCAATAACAATGAAAGCATCATGTATGTATGGGAACAGGCAAGAATAGTAGAGGATAAAGTAAAAAACAATGCGGTGGTAAGATTTGAACTAACTCGCTTGGTCACGATGGGAGTTCTATAGAGACCTTAATTAATCGACAACTCTCATATGAATCCTTATTTACATCAACCTCCCCCCCTCGGTTGTTAAACTTGTCTGTTTAATTTAACCGTCTTACACCCCAAACTTAATATTTTTAGGTTTATGAAACAGTAACACCTTAACTTAAGTGTTGGCACAAAATACTTACACTTCCAAATGTACCAATCAAAATCTCATTTTCCCCATCCATGTCCAAGTCACATACACAAGAGCAAACACACGCATCGTGAGAATCGCTGCCGTCCAGTTCTATTTTGTTGCTCTCTGATAATCCTTTATCTTCAATGTTCCTACAAATGAACTTTGTATTAGAATCTGAAATCCAAGGTTAAGTGGTCATAAAAGGTAGGATAATGGTATGTCAAAAAAAAAGAATGAGAACTTCTACATCTTAATATTTAAAAACAAAACCAATAAATTACACAAAAACTCCCTGTAGCTTGCTAGCTCTCCAACAAAAGACCATATTATACATAGCTCATTAGACAATTAGGCTAAAGTTGCCCATTCCCTAGCAAAAAAATAACCTTTTTATTACTCGTACAGAAAATAGTTATTTTAGTTGACAGTTGAAATCAAATAAAATACTTGTTTCCCAAGCTCTAATTTAGAGCAAGAATAGTGTTGTGGAATTTTAACGTTGTTGTTTAGGTTTGCTATAAACAATTTCTTTATTTCATATATTTTTTAAATAATAGTTTTAATTTGGCAAAGGTATGTTGTTCTGTATGTGTGTATTTTTGTGTTGTGATAAAAAGTATCGTTTATAACTTGTACTGAAAGTTGTTATCTGACACTTTCTCCAATTATTGCCCACCTCAACTTTGCCTCGTACTTGAAACTCACCTTCACATGCGAGGCAAAGCTGATCATGTGCCTGTTTTTCGCTTTGCCCATCACATGAAAGTTGCTGGAAAATACCACTTTTGGTACTTGTAATAAATATACAATCAACTTTTGACCTCAAGCAGTTAGGGATCTGCTCATGGATTAATTCGAATTTATGTCTAAGGCTTGGCTAGAGAAAAACTTCATTTTACACAAGAACAATTATAGTTTATTTAACTTACATGAATACACATGAACGATTGTTTCCATTGCAAACTAAAAGGTGTAGATCGCTATCTTGGCTATTAGAGATTTTTTCAATTGACCCTGAAATATGAAGAAACAAATAGTTAACAAGTTACTAAAACAATTGGTTCAAACAAGGAAAATGAAATAATAATTTATAATTTGCATTATGTCTTTAATGATTGTAATTTATTTATTTTGTCTATAGGGTACCATCAACTGCAAAAATATTTTGAGAATAAATTTGCCGTGTTGGCGCAAACACGGTCAAGAGTGATAATAATTGTAGTTTTATTCATAGGTTATGGCACAGTAAGAAATTGTTGGCTTATCCTCCTCATCAGTGGACTTTGCAGATGATTATATAGCTCTGCAATCGTAGTCTTGACGATGCGCGGCACTAATTGTGAGTCAATCAGTCAAGACAATCAAAATGACACTATTTTAAGCTAGTTGTTGTGAACACAATTTGTAACGCTTCCTTCATAATGGCTGCATAAAGAAATACAGCCGATTGTGAAATTAGGTTGTACTTTGTTTTCTGAATTGTAAGAAAAATTAAACCAGTAACATTCATCGACAATCTACGAGGTTTATGGACAAAATACAATGCAAGTTTTAATTTGATAAATTGTTGAAGGTAAAAGATGGGGTTGACAGTTAATGAAGAGCTAAGTGGACGTCCATCTGTAGTTTATAGTGAAGCTTATAAAACTGTGCTGCACAATACAGACCACGAGCCAAGGAATGCTATGTAAATATCTAGTTTTCATTCATGATAGTGTCATAGCCCTTGCTGCAAATGGGATGAAAACTTCTACCTACAGGACTTTAATTGGGATGTTTTGACCATCCCCTCTACAGCCCCGACATCACACTTAGTGACTTTCGCCTGTTTCTCCTTTTAGGGCATTTCCTTAGCAATCACTGCTTCAACAGTGATGAAGAGCTGAAAGAAAATGTTACCACAAGGTTGACAACATTTTATGATGAAAGTATACAAAAACTGGCACCACACTATGATAAAACGTCTGTCAAATCGCCGGAATAATGTTGAAAATGGTGCAAGCTTTGTACATTCTGTTAAATTAATATTTGTTTTGTTATTTGTGACTTATTTTGTAACAATCAGAGCTTACTTTCCGAACCCACCTTGTATCTGAAATCTGAGAATATTCTTTTTTCAAATTTCTAAATATCAACATTTTATGTTTGGATACCTTCACAATATGAATCCTCAACGCTGAAGCCTCTAGGAGGATTAACACTGTCTGGGGCCATTGAGAAAATCTGGACATGGGTAACAGGACTCTCAAAGATCTCAGAGAGTTTCTGCAGAACAGTGTTGGACAAAGTGTTGACAATGGAAACCTGGGTGAAACCTACATCACATCCAATCACTGTCACCCTCCTGAGAAAACAATAAACACATGTTATAACATTTACCACAGAATCATATGTTGTTCAACATCTGGAGGTTGGCAACACTGAGCCAATGAGTAGACAGCAGCTTCAGATCACTTTATATTTAAACACAAACACGCACACCAATTTTTTTGTACACTGTTTAATTAGAAGTTAGCATGGTAAATTCTGTTTTGATAGTAAGAAACTAGAATAAAAATCAGTCGGGTAATTTGTTTCTGTCCGTTATAATTATCCGAGCCTCGTATCAGTAGTGTGTTGGTCGTCAACGTGATCGTAACGACATGTATAGCTCCTGTCCGTGTGTGCACGTGTTTCGTGTTCAGTGTCAGTGTTGTGACTATACACGTGCAGTGACAGTTTTATGGGTGATAGAAAGATTGACGATTTCTTCAACATTTTTTTTCTTTTCTTTCTTTCTTTCTTATTAAATGGCGACCATACAAAGTAGGTATTTTAAGGCAAGTATGAATGGAGATGAGTGTAGTGGCGCGATCTTGTAGTCTTGTTAGTGACTAAGGCCGACATTCCTTAGACACAGCTGTTAATTAATAGCCCATACAGCTAATGGCAACTAAGGGACCTACAGTTTATAGTGGAATCCGAACCACATTTTAGCCACTGTGACACCTAGATCTACCAAACGTCAATGTGTATCGTCATCACCCGACGTAACAATTTCCCCCGCCGGCGAGACCATGGAGACAGAGAAGGTAGGCCAACTTACACAGGGCCAGCTAATGGCCCGTCTTAGTTCACTATTGGACTAGAAGATGTCTAAGTTAGCTACGAAAGAAGACTTTGTTGGTTTAACCAAGAAAGTTGAAGCTATGCAGGAGGAGAACGAAGCCCTAAGGTGTGAAGCATCAATGAAGAAGCAACAAAGTCTGATGTTCGGCAAGATAGTGGACCTGGAGGCTAGAATCCGGGGAAAAAGAGCCTACCTGGCAAAGATGCGTGCGGAGGTGACGAGACAACAGGCATTAATTTAGTTTGGTTTAGCCACAGAGAAGTAAGATACAGAGGATACAAGCTTATGGGACAACCGTACTTTTAGCTCTGGTATAGTGGGGCAGAAATGTACTTATACCGAGCAAGTAAGAGCCAGAATGGCGATGGCCACATAGAATATTTGTATAGCAGTTGTAGCACACAGGATCTTCCTACAGTGTGAGAGCTGTAGTATGTGATGGCGAGGGGGGGAAAGGAGAGTGGAAGGGGACAAATAGAATTTACTCTAAACACCAGCGACTGGTGCTAGATACAGCTTAAGTATACCATTAAATGTATCCTCTTTATCTTATCTCTCTGTGGTTTAGCTGAAAATACCAAGTCAGATATACTATGTCATGATTAAAATAACAAAGGGTGAATTGGAACATTTTCTTTGTGAATTGGTTGGCAACTACAGTGTAACTAGCTCGCTGGGCGGCCACTGTCACAACTACTTGAGCTCGAACTGGCGCGAGCCGCCATCTTGAATTGACTTCTGGCTGCTGGGTAGAACCCAATAAATTTCCTTTATGTTTCAGAAAAAGCTTTGCAAGAGCTGTGTCTTGAAATAAGTTAAAATTAATATTGAGACTGATTTCAATAATGTGTTGAGAGGGTATGTGGGCAAATATGTCACAGTCACACTTATTGTTAAAGTTCCAAAATGTAAATTTTAGTTTTAAATTGTTTTTTTTTTTTTTTAGTTTGTGAGTAAGCTAAATCCGATCCAAAATGAAATTTCGCTATCTGTACACATCTACTTAAGTTATTTTAAATCAAGCCAACCAACCTTGTGAGATTATGGGTGTGACGAACATTGATCCATAGAACTGTGCTGGGAGGATCAACCAACTCAGGAAACAGCTCAGAGACATCAGTTTCTGACCAACTGTGTGTCTGTAGCTCTTCTTGAAACACATGTATCTTGCTGTCACTTCCCGACAACAGCCACACTGTCTGACAAACACCCCTTCTCAAAAAGTCAATGCATTAAAACCTATTGATGTATGACCTATTGATAATTAAATCCTGAACCAGAATTTCCTTTTGGTTTTGAGTAAAGCTCTCTCAAAGTTTCAAATGCAAACAAAGTACTTTTATTATACCAAGAAACCTGTTAAAGAATGCAAAATCAATACTGTAGGCTTTACCCACTGATATTATTCTGTGTGTAGTTTTAAATATTTAGGTGCCTAATAATATGATTATTCTTCTTTTTGGTAACTCTCTGTTTGTAAAACTTGTAAAAAATGCATTTAATCCAAAAATCCCTATTTAAATCGTCACATAAATTTCTATTCTAGCTAATCTTGTTTTAGTGGAATTTAAATCTTAATAATAATAATAAGAAGAATAACTTATATCCCACAAAATGTCTCAGGCTTAATTTTACGACTTAAAAAATACATCACTCCTCAATTACCTATTTGCATAGTCATCAGGAACATTCTAAAAGTATGTGCATACTTAAATTTGTGTTAGATAGCAAGCAGTATATTTAGAGTAGAATTTCATATTTTAACCATAAGCAGATTAGCTGATGTACAAAATTTCTACAAATTGTCCATAACATTGAATTTTAAGAACTATAATTCAACATTTGGTTATTCGGTTTCTGTATGGAAAACAAAATTTTGAATTTACATTTTAGATAATCATTTAACAACAACCATGCAATATTTTCAAATGTCCCACAAACCTCTTTTTGAATTGAACTGTTTGGTTGATGGACTGCAGTATGAGTTAGGTGGTAAGGGAAGAATTTTAAATCCAACATGAAACAGTTCTGTGCAATGCTATCTATGTTGAGTGTGTAGTTGGTGTCCAGGTCTTGCTCTGAATAGATGTTCATATACATTTCTGGGTGATCTCCACCCATCTGAAAACCATTATAAGCTGCATGAAATAAAAAAAAACAGATTCATGCTACACCCAGTTAAGACATACTAAAACAATAGCTTTTGAGAAACCTGTCTTTCTTGTACCTTAGTGTTAATCATATCAAGGCGACCCTAAGATTGAGAACTCTAGAATCTGTTCTCACTGTTTTGTAATCGTAGGAAATTATGACGTTGGTAACTCAATAAGAATTTATTAATGCCATTAAACTTATTACAGTAATAGGCAACGTCAAACAGTACAACACATAGGGTTGCATGTAGCATTTTTGAGTGTTTCAACTTAGATACTACTTTATCCACATGACATTGGTGGCTTAACCTACAAGTTTAAAAAATCTTCTACAGTGTAAAAGGCATTTGTTTTTAAGAATGTCATTACATACGATTTAAAGTTGTTTACAGACAGAGTTCTAATTTCTAATGGTAACTTATTGAACAATAGATACTGTTGATAATGGTAACTTTTGAAGGTTTTACTTAATATAATAATATAATATTATAATATAAGGTGTAACAATATTGTGCTTATTTCTAGTGTTGTGATTATGATTGCTGTGCTGCATGGGAAAGTTAACTAAATTTTCTTTTACATACATAAGGTTGGAAAAAATATACAGTGATGGCAAAGTTAAGATATTGAGATGAATATAACTAGGTGTTGTGATTTTAGGGGATATTACAGTGATGGCAGGATATGATTATTATGAAATTTTTCAAATGTCTCAGTTGTCACTCTCGGCAGCCAAGCCCATCATTGTCAGACCACGCTGCTACAAGGTCCGTCCTGTTGATACCAAAGCTCGAGTACTGACATTTATGCTCATTACTCAGTACTGGGACTTTTCCCTTCACTAATAATATTATAAATATTTCCTAACCTTTCATGTATTTAGTAAGGTTTATTAGGCTATAGAGATCACACAGAGGGTATGAACCTACCTTGGTGATGGCAATTCCTATGTGGAAATCGTCACACGTTGATGATTTGTTAAAGGCATCAATTGAAATTATTTCTGCACCACCTAGAACAAAACATACATTGACAAGAACAAAATATGTTTGTATATAGGCCTATTTTAGAATACTCAACAAAAAAAGTTATTTTAGATTATGTAATAACTAATTTCAAAAAGAAGGAAATAATTTAAACTAAAATCAAAGTGGTGGCTATTGCAGGCTAACAAATAGATGTAGATGATGTGCATATGAACAACTTTGATTTACATAAGGTGGATAAATAATTAGATTGACATGAACTTCCGTCCACCAAGGCCTCACGTTCAATACAGTAGATTGATATGTAGCCTATTGAGACCTAAGATTATGATTCCCTAGTCTTTGCAACTACGGTGAAGGGGACCAAGGTAAAAGGTAAGACATATTGGTGCCAACACTATCAGATGGATATTGCATGTGTCAACAATTGTAGCACAGGGTGTCCACAGAAAATTTGTCATTAATTTCTATGACTTTCCATGACTATCCATGACCATTACTTCCATGACTCACGAACTTTACTCGAAAATTATAATATAACATACACACACAAATAATACTGCCTAGACATATTATTTTGGAGAAAATGCTGAAATATGTAATAACAGATAACAATGGAGTACAATAGGTACAACAATGAACAAAAACAAACTCAAAACTCATAAAATAATACAACTGTAAATTGAATTGTCGAACATTTGTGAAAAATCCTTAAAAATGCTACAACAGTAGGGGTTACGGCCGACTAGAGCATTGAATGGTCCCCTCAAATCCACCCATCATGACTTTCCATGACTTTTTGCCTATTTCCATGACTTTCAATGACCATTTTTTTTCCTTACCTTTCCCTGACTATCCCTGACTTTCCAGAATGTGGACACCCTGTAGCACACTTTTGCGAAGATTTCAGCTGATGACTTTGACAACAAGCCTTAATTAGTCACAAAAATATGAACATGTAGGCCCCCTTTAGGCCAATTTCACAAATGGGGAATAAGCTATTGGTATAGGTCTTATGGTAAGATCTAGACCCGGGAGCGATTTACTTTTTTGTTTTGATGTTCTCAGAGGCCAAAAACACCATCCTTTAAAATTCAAAATATTCAGATATATGTCCGTTAGCACGATAACTCAGGAGAAAAGCACCCAATTTTGATGAAATTTGGTATAAACCGGTTCTGGAACCAACATGCTCGAACTACAGAAACAGGGGATAAAAATTGGGTTTCCCCATCTTTTACCGCCAAAACAAAAAATATTGCAGCGTCTTTCTTAACCAAGCTGTAGAGCTTAAAAAACAAATAATTACAGTGAATTGTTGTTGTACGCTTAACGGTTACAGAGAAAATTGAAACAAAAACTGTTAATTTAAAACTCCCATTTTATTCTTACGGAGAATAAATTAACTTTCATTGTATGCTTGTTCATTAATATATTTTTATTAAATTTGGCAAATTTATTCATATTAAATACAAGTTGAAAGAAATGTTTTAGTGAAAAGCCAATCAGGTAGATGTAAATTTGCTTAGTCTGTAGGGTTGCTACAGCAAGGGTATTTCAATTTCAAATTTCTTCTGTCTCCAATCCTGTACAAGTATAGTAAGTAGGCCCATAGTAGTGGTGAAGTGTCACCAATACTGTAAGTATACTATTAAGCTGCCTCTGTGTAAGCTGCCTGAAGAAGCAAAATTAGTTTCTTACAGTACTATTTAAAAAAATGAACTGTATGACTAGATGGCTAAAAAAATCCATCTAGTTGTGAAATAAATATTAGATTTTGAAGACTAAGTTAAAATAAAGCTTTCGTTTTCATGTAAGTAGCCTAGTTATTTAAATTTGAGATATATTGTACTGTAAACACTGAATTACCTTGTAAACTATGTATAACAAATGACGTGTCCTATTTCTTTTATAAAGATCAATAAATATGTCTTTTTCTTATTCTTATTGAGCCCCATTAGCCTATACCAATCCAAAAGTCCAAAAATGCGTAATTTTATGAAAAATACTGTTATCTTAATGTTCCAAATTGTATGCTGTGAAAGTCTCTAACATTTTTCAACATCAAGTTTAAATGTGTATAAAAATATACCACTTTCAGAAGAGGACGAAAGATTACTTGACATACAACTCTTGCTACTCAGCAAAGAATGTTTATACCATTGTGAAAAACTTCATTAGCACCTATCACTTTTGACATGGTCTAGGCTATTACTTGTATGTGCTTAATCGCTACTTGTATGTGCTTAATCGCTCCGCATATGATTTTATAAATCATTTGATGTTCAATGGGGTAAAGAGAACAAAAACTAAAACATGTTCACAGAAATAATTTAAATGGCCAGATAAATTGGTAAAACTATCAAAATAATTTTACATTTAGCGACCCTTTTAGGTCTTAAGATAACTTACTTGGTATGTAGGTGAATGAGTGTTCTTTTACTGTAGGTTTCATAGATCCTTCAGGATTTCCGCAGTAACCAAACGAATAAATACTTCTTTTCCAGCTGGCAGCAATAAAAAGACTTACTCCACTGGTCAAATTTAAAGGCACTAAAGAATAAACGTTTCCCTGAGTCCTTGTCATGAAGTAATGTGCATCTACAATGTCGTCCATTACTCTTTTCCTGGAAGTTAATGACAGTTATGTAGATACAATCGTGATTCATTTATTAAGAGAATAACTTAGGCCTGCACTCGGTATGATGAGCGCCAACTTAAGCGTAATTTATTTAGTGCTAACTAACAAACAAGATGAGAATAAGAACATTGTTTATTCCTCTGATCAGGCACAGGGCACGGCCCTAGGGACTTTGCCGCCCTGGGCGAGATCGGCGACCACCCCCCCTTCAACCCATATATATCCCGTTTAATTGTATAGGCCTACTCCCGGGCTTTTTTGAGTGATCACGGAACTACAGTATCTCCATAACTCTTTAATAATGTACAAGGGGTCCCAAGTGTAAGTTAAATTGCACATTTTAAAATTATTTTCATTTCATAAGCTGGTTCATGTTTACAGTTGCAAGGATATATTTTTGTTTATTGTTTATTAACTGACTTAAACATTTAATTATAACAGGTTAAGTACCTTGACGTCCACAATTCCTCAGTCGAACTTCCATTGACTAGTTTCGACTACTAAGTAGTCATTTTCAAAACGGAAAGTTAAAATATTCCATTCATTGAATGTTGTCAAATTTTCTTAAATATACATTAAACACACATAGGCTACATAACACGGTAGACATTTATAAACATAGTCTATTTTTTTGTTAACGATTTTAAAATGTGTTTAGCCTAGAAGGAAAGAGACGACTTGTATAAGGACAATTTTATTTATGACGAAGCACCTGTACATACATCCTGTAATATTCTGTATGTTTTGTGCCAATAAATAAATATTAAATATTTACCCCTGTTTCAACTAAAAACTGTCAAGGTTCCGGATTAGGCATTAAATACACACAAAGGAATAAATGCTTATTTCACTGTTACACTGATTTATTTATTTATTTATTCTCAACGGCAAACACCATTTTACAAACAATACATTAATACTGATTGAAGTTTACTTACATACTGATTGAAATATATCCACTCATAAAGTTACAAATATTAATGTTAGGCTATATTATAGGCCTAGGTACCCACCCTTAATCAAGTTAGGTACTAGATTTTATAATATTGAAACTGAAACTGGATGTTAGTTTGAATCAATAAATATTTCGTATTTTAGACATAAAAATAAACTTCATCGTTTGCCTTACCATCATCAAAATTCGTTCTATTTAAGTTAACATAGCCCTAACCTACAAATATGCGAACTAATCACCTACCTATTTTCAACAAAAATGAAACAATTTTACAATAAGAATTGGTTGAACCAAAATATTAACTTTTATGTCATAATTCCGATGTTTTTAATCCAAGTATTTGATAATAATGTAAAATTATAATATGAAACATGAGCGAAGACAAGTGTTTTTGTTATTATGTTGTTTTGTTTTGTTTTTGTCTGTTCAGTCTTCAGTGTTCATGTTCATAATCATATCGTCGTGGTATCATATGCATGTGAAGTCTTCTTCTTCTTTTCTAGTTTGCTTCAATAAGGCTGGCTTGGTTTACCTACCATGTAGCCACACTATTTCATCAATATCAATACAATTTTCCCGGGCTATTTCAAAATGCAAGCATGATGCTAGTTAGGAATAGTTATTTGTGCAACTAGTGAGAAAAGTGAGCAATTGACTCACTCGAGAGAAATCCTTACTCACGAGCCGTAGGCGAGTGAGGAATGGTTTCTCGAGTGAGGCAAATGCACTTTGAACTCGAGTTGCACATTATACTTTTCCTACAGTTACCACAAAACAAATAAATTGGTGAAGAAACATAACCTATTTTTACACAAAAGTGAACTTTTAATATAACATTTAATGTGAAGTGACAAATACAACAGTACAACAGCTGACCAGCTGATTTACAGCCAGTGCTGCCAACGTATTTCGCGCGCATACGACGTTGCCTGTTACGCGCTCACTATTTCGTGCCTTCACGTTGCAAATCTGGAGTGAGACAAAGTAATTAGAGTGAGACAATGTTAACATTGTCTCACTGATGAGCGAATTGGCCACTTTGCTTTCTCAAATCAGTGAGAGAACATGTACATTGTTAGGTAACTGTAGGAAAATGATTTTTGTTTTTATAATAAATTGAGTTTCCCGAGGTTATATGATGTCAATCCCGTGTCATTGTGAATCGTACATGATTTATCTATGAAGTGTTAGGTATCGATGATAATCAATATATCGTAAATATCGATATTTTGAGGCCGAAATTCGATATTTTTGACATAGATGTAAATGCACCAATATTTTTTTTGCAGTATGGATATTTTTAGCGAAATTATTATTTTCCTACAGTTACCTGACAAAGTGGGGTTCCTTGCACTGATTATAGCACGCAAAGTTGTTAATTTCTGCACTTACTTATACTTTTGCCGCACTCCAGGATATCAACCAAACAAAACAATCAATAAGATGACACTGGCGATTGGCATTAAACTAAAATAACTAAAACCATAAAACTCTAAACCAAAGTACTCTCCATGTTTGCCCAGGCATGCCTGTACAAACATGAGTAGGGTACTTTGGTTTCGAGTTTTAGTTTAATGCCAGTGCCATCTTGATTGTTTTGTTTTTCTTTTGACGATTGTCATGAACTTTTTAACCTAGTTTCAACGACAATAAATCATTAATTTCATTTCATAAATCATTTATTTCATTTCAAACCACACCAAACAGTGTGCTTTTATTAGGCACGTACCGTAGTACGAGTAGGCTTGAAAATAAGCTGGTAACACTCATTGAGATAAATAAATAGATCATAACTGGAGTCACTACTCCCGTTGAATTTAGAGAAAAACGTACCCCGTACCCCTGTGTTTTAGCGTTTTTGCTGGTTTGTTTTCGGTGTTTCGTCGTTTCGTGTTGGCCGTTGTGATCGGTTGGTGGGATGCTTTTTCAAATTCAGCATTCTAACTAATCTAACCATGCTATTTATTTGGATTGGGGTTATCCGTTTTTGATGGACTTCAACTTATTTAAGTTATTGAACGTTAAAACCTGTGTATTTAAAGTAATTTTGATACAATTGTTTTTGATACTAAATATTAACTTATTTTCAAGCTAGATTAATAGTGAAAATAGTCAAGTTTCCTGGTAATTATTTTTATTATGTCTAGCTTAATTATTTTTGTCAATGCTCTACCAATGATATCGTTGTGCCCTACAGGCCCAACTACTTAACTTACATTGAACCATCTGTGTTGTATTATTTATGACCTTGTTAAAACGGGTTGCTCTCGTAAAGTAAATAAACTAAAAAAAACAGCAAAACAGTGTTACGTTTTTTAAACACAGAGTGGTGACTCCTAACAGTAGCTCAGTGGTAAGTCTGCAGTGCAGACGTATTCGGTGTATTAATACGTACGTACGTCGCCGTCCGCAGCTACGTCTGACGGCTACGGAGCCGGCGAGCCTGCAGTTTGTTTATTTTATTATAATATTTTATATTTATTGTTTGTTTTATTGTTTATTTTTATTAGGGTTTCATTAATTTCAGTTAAAATTGCCACGGTTCAATTGCAGCTTTTATAGTAGGACATTTCACAACAAAGGTAGAAAGCGAGCCTTCAGAGACCTTGCACATTGCCAAATCAAAGTTCACCTTGATAGTTTATTTAAAAAAATATACCGTATTATCATTGCATTCAAACAGTGCAATAAACTTCTTATCCTCTTTATAAATAATCCATGGAATATCCAGGCGTTATTTTCATTTTTTAAATTTTTGATTTTAAATGGTGATTGTGTCATAAAATAACGGAAATATAGGATTTTCATAAACACTGCTAGAAACGATTGATTAAAAACTCTAAACAAAATGTTACATCATGCTGCAAAAATTGTGGTTCAAAAGTTATTGCAATTGTTGTGATTTGACCCATAAAATACCATAGTTACAATAGGTGGGTATACTCCCACCTCTTTTAAGGGGTTTTAACAAGCTAATGGGATAAAGTATGTGTCAGATTGCTGATTCCATATTTTACTACAATAAGAATTTCCTGATATCTATGGATATAAAACAGAATTAAAATTAAAAAAAGTTATCAATCGGTAGTTTCAAGCATAAGCTTAGGCTGAAAAGAGATTCATATTCTTATAGCTTTTGTTGAAATATCTGTAGTCAATATTAAAGGCACCATCAGCATATCAAGCACCCTCCCAGTTATCTTTTTAAATTTATTTATCAGCTGAATATAATTTGAATTAAAGGTTAGTTCTGTCTATCACTCCAAAGAGGACAGAGTCCTTAGAGGGATGTTTCCCAAGGTGAAAAGTATCAAAACTTCAACTAATGATATCACTGACATGGTATTTTAATAATTTTTCCTGCTGATGGTAACATTATCACTAGAGAATACGTTGGACTGATACAGCGGATTCAAAACTCTACAATCAATTTATTTAAACATGATAATGTACCCCCTCCCCAAGTAGCTGGTCTACTTTTTACGGCCACTACACTAGTTCAGTTTTAACCGTTAGTGAGAACTGAGCTAAGGTGAAAATTAAATAAAGAACTGTCGAAATTCACTATTTAACCATGAAAGATCTACACCTGTAACTGATGTCATGCTGAACTGTGTTTGTGAGGAGTCGGTTCAATTTGTCAGTGGAATCCTAATACAGGAACAAAATCATGGTTGAAAATATCTTCGAGGGTTTTGCCAATTGCAAGGAATTGAAGAGTAGTTGTTACTATTTCGAGGGGAGTGATAGCTGATTGCATTACTGGACAAGTTTCCTTGTAATTTTTTTGAATAATTAAGCCAATCTTTAAGACAGAATTTTAGTTTGTATATGATGTTCACATGCAAGTATTTTTAAATTTTTAAAAGGAAATCATTCACCCATATAGTTAGTTGGCTTGCTTTTTCCTTTCCGTAGCAACACACATTGTACTGCATTAGTCCGAAACAATTGTAGAAGTACTAACAATGAAGGACTGCACTATCACATGTCTTTAACCAAACTTTAACTTTTAACTGATTTGTATGTGCCTTATTGCGGTCAGTTAAGACTGATCAGTTTTAATTGACTATTCAAACTGATCGTGTATGGGCCACTTTTGTAATCAATCGCAATGTGGCTCTTTGCTGGGAATCAGATGATGCAGCATTTTTTTATATAGGACTGCCATCGTGAGGGACTTTACTATAAAGAACTTCTTTACAGGCTGAGTTGATATGAGCTAATATACTTCTGCTAGTAAGTCATGTGACTAGCAGAGCTAAGTCACTAGTTACAAATGTTTTGTTCACACTGCACTAATTTAATCGCTGCAAGTAAATTGACGCTTTATTTGATTGAGGCTTAAATCACAAGTCAAATTTAGCAAAAATATTAGCATCTTTGTACAAACAATTCACACAAAACTAGGTTAATTTAAGGAATTTAGAAACCTAAAAAGGTATAATTAATTGAAATTAATTGAAAAGCCACAAATTATAATACAAACAAACTGTATTTAGAAAGTCACACAGACAAATGGAATCTTAACGAATATACTGTTTAATAAATAGATACAATAGTGTTAAACCTAAATAATACTTTAGTTTCTCACTGAAAGAAATCAACAACAAATATACATGAAATTAATAGTTGAATACTAAGGTTTTATTTTATTTTATAAAACGCTTAAAAAATATTATGTAAAAAGCCAGTCTTATTTCAAATACAATAATAACATAACTAAGACAATAGTGAATGAGCTTGTGAACAGAAAAACTTAGCTCTACCTATATGGCCAACACTTCATACTTTCCAGGACTTGGTACAGTAAAAGGATATCATAAGCATAAGACTTAACCATAATTAGTACAGAATAAAATCAGAATATATTGTGACAAACCAGAACACTAGTATATTAACAATCAAAACACATTAGTATTGAGGGTTATTAATAGCTACTCATAATGAATGGAAACTCTCTGGTATAATATAAGGAAACTCAGAGGTGAATTTGAATCATTTCTCTTCCTTAACTTTAATCTGCTAGACAAGTCTCAGCAGTAAAAATAACAGCTATGAAGGCAAAGTCCTCTTGACCACTAGAATTGTTTGAGTTTGCCATTAACACAAGGCACATTAGAGTAAATTCATCCCGAAACTATCGGACAGTCATCAAAAATCTTTGGTCGTCATACTGTAGAAATGGGGAGTGAAGATTTACATTTCATCGATTTCAGTCTCCTTCTCAAGGAAATCACGCACAGACTTGTATCCTCTCTCCTGTGCTAGGTAGAACAACTGACCTGTAGGAGTCTTGCCTTTTTGAGTTCGGCAAATAGAGCAATTGCACAGTTCACGGCATGGAGGGCAGGACCATTTCTGCAACAGGCAGAAGACAAGAGGCTTGCAAATAAAACTGTTATTTTGAAACTAGTCACCTGAGACTAAATTAGGGCTGACGACGTAATGTATGTTAACCTATTTATATTGTCATAAATCAATCCTGGAGGCAATGCTGAATAAATTAACTGGAGCTATTCAGATATTACATGTTAATTGTGAGTGAATAGGGTTAAACAAGAATCAAATGGCAAAGAGTTAGTTTCTGTTAGCATAGGACTTATTAGAAAGGTTGAATAATAATTATTATTAGTTTTAGTCTATTATAATATGAAAGACACTGAACAATCAGTTAAAATGAAGAAAAACTTAATGAAAATTAAAACAAACTATCAAAGTTAGATAAAAAATTGATACTTTATTTTATTTGTCTATCAGATTTAAGTTTATTAACCAAAGTTTCATCTTCAAATCAATCAAAGGGATACTTACAGGGTCTTTCAGAGCTTCGACAACGAGTTCGCCGTATCTATTTTTCAAACATGGACCACAAAACTGGCCCCGAACACCGTAGCAATTTTCTGACCGGCAATAAGTTTTCATGTCTAGAGTCTTCTGCCTGAAAGATATTACATTTTTACTACTGCCATAAAAATATAACTTCAGCAAATTTTTAAAGAAGTAATGATCACTACAGGCGCTGTACTTAACAATTATTTTTTTTTTTTAATATTTACAAAAAATAGATCTAAATGTTGATCGGCACGGGTTTTGAATTGTAGAATAAAGGGAGTAGCTACTAGTTTACCTTAGAAGTACAGGTATGCCACAGAACACATAGAAGTCCCCCAGGGCATGAAATATTGTGTGTTTTATGTGTCTTGTGTGTTCTCTAGCCCACCTAGGCTATACTTCTTCTCAAGTGAGCCCATACAGCTCAAGTCAAATGTCATGGCTCCTCCGGAAAAACCCACCACAGTGGAGACCAGGTCAATGATTGACAGTGATATTTTAAGTTCTTTAAATAGCCGAATGGATGATCTTTCAAGGAAATACTCGGACTGTGAGAAGATTCTTGAGTCAATTGAGTTAACTCACCAAAAGATTGATGAAGTCAAAGTATTAATTAATGCTCAGCGAGAAGATATTAACAGATGTCTGAACACAGTTGACGATCATTCCCAAGAAAATTTCAATCTACGCCGTGAGTTGGAGAAGGGGAAGCAGGAGCTCTGTGAGGTTCAGCGATACTCGTGCAAAAAGACTGTAAATACACAGGGCATCCCCGAGACCAGGTCAAAGAATGTTATGGAAGTTGTGAAGAAAGTGGCAGATGTTAACCTGAAGTTTGAGATGGTGGATGCAGTACAAAGACTCGCCGGGGGCAGCGACACATTGAGACTGCGGGGCATCATTCTCAAGTTCGTTCAACACGGCGACTGCGATGAGATGTTATGTCTTGCAAAGGTAAAGTGTGGATTTTCTGTATCCGAACTCGGTGTCACCTCTGAGAAAAGCCTACGTCAATCCGTCTCTCTCAAAGACCCACAGGGAACTACTGTATCTCGCCAAGTATGCAGTGCCTGATGGCTGAGTAAGGTTCATCAGGTTTGGCAAAGGGAAAGGTGTTGATTTGCAAGAGGGACGGTCAGCCAGCCATCCATGTTACTTCCAGACAGAAGCTGCAGGACCTGTAGTGATGATCTACTCTCACCATATTTCCAGTATATGGTATCAATTTAAACATCATTGCTTATTTGTTTGTGTATGTGATTTTATAATTTTTTTAAAATTTGTTTTCATTTAAATCAATGGTAATGAATAACCATTTTATATACCATCAGAATGTAAGGGGTTTAAAATCTAAAGTAAATACTCTTTTCGGTAACATACTACCTATAGAATCAGACATTGTTAGTTGCTTCAGTGGCAACAACTCAGTTTGGTCTGCAACCTTTCTGTGGCATCTCACGTAAGTGCGTGCTGTGTGCACTTCCATCGCCTCAGCCTTACCACAGCCTCTCCTGGGTAGCATAAGTCATGGTAAGCCGTGTCATGGGCTCAGGAGGAACACAGCTTTACAGGTTGGGTAACGTTTCAGCATCTCAGCAAGCTCACTCAGGGTCCCCCTTCGAACTTACAAATGAACTTCGTTGTTTCTCCCAGTCATTTTTGCATATTTTTTGTGATGCTGATAATGGTATCTTAATATTTTTTTTTAATGAAAATCTCAGGATATTATAGCGATTGCAATATTTAAGGCCTAGTTTATAAGGTAAAAAACTCACGAGTCATCGCCATCGTGGGAGTAAATAAACATTACGTCATGCTCATGATGCTGTGATCGTTGTAGATGACCATGAACGTGAATCCAAAGTTACAAAGTATTAAGGATCAACGTTTTCTTGATACCAACAGTATCTCAAGTTTTTTTTTGGAATTGAGGAATGAAACCGGTGCTTCCTTTTTTTAGAGTGACTGCAAAATTCATGGCTTATTCCAAGTTTTTTGGGGTTGTCAAAATTCACAACTTATTTACGGTTTAGAAGGTTTTTGCAGTTGAGTGCCCCTGTCACTCTCTCCTTTTCTTTTCAGGCAGTTGGCTTCAGTCAACAGCTAGACAGGAGACAACTAATTATCATCATACAGTTGTTTTAGATATATTTTACCATTCATCGATATACAAAGGTTTTAGGGTAATTGTTGATTTATATCAGAAACAGTTTACACGAAACACACTATACTGTTTATGTTTTTATTATAACTATTTTATGTTTTGTTATCTTTAGCGTATTTAAAAGGACATATTCATTGAATATTAAATAAATATTTTACTCTATTTTTTACGTTTTTATACAGTAAAAATATGATTCCTACTGAAATTTGGTTTTTATTATACCTGGTCAGAAAGACTGTGTTGCGTCTCTTCACATTTTAAATTCAGAGCGACCTCTGCCAGGTTAAAAGGATAAATTATCAAAAAGGATTTAACTACCTGCATTGGTGACAGGTGGTGCCATCCTCGGAATACACTTTGTCTCTGACACCTTCTGCAACTCTCTTCAGGTCTTCTTCAGTGATGTCGTCAACAGAAGGAATATCACGCGGTGCTCTATTGTTATTTGTGGAGTTTACTTTTCTCCGTTTGGTAGTTTGTACAACTCTGTCCCGGTCATTATCAGATTCTTCCTCATCGGAGCACTGAAATAATTGCGGTACAGTTATAAGCAATTATAAACTCAGTACAATTATAAACAAGCTATTAAAGAGAAAGTTAATGAGGTATGAGCATAACCGTCGCTTATAAGTAAGTTTCCTTACCACCATACAGTTATGGACTGCATTTCAATAAACGATTCTTTACCTCAAAACAATAATGGAATGCTTTTAAATAAACAGTTGGTAAAAAGGGGGAATTTCGAATTTCCCCTGGCCCTGGCTGACATCTAGGAGTTGTCACGAAAAACAAATTCTTCTAAACAGTTGTAGATAAAAATTCCTTCTTTACAATAAAGGAACTCTGGGCTCCCTTGTATAAAAATATCTCAACCCTGGAACTGCCTGTTGGATTCGCTAACATGCTAGCATATTTTGCTGTAGTTGCATGGTTAATTTTAAAAATTAATAAAAAATATTTTTAAGAACGTTATAATATGAATATTGTATAATTTGTTTCAGGAAGAAACAGAGAGAGTTATTATGTCATTTATATTGTAATAAAACCTAACCTACATTTATGACCTATTTATTTATATGTTGTACCTAAAATTGCAATACTATTATACAGGGTGTCACAAAAACCCATAGCGGGCTATGCAGAACCCGCTACTTACAAAAATAAGATGAATCGCTTCGTTTACCAGATATCCGCAATTTTATATTTTTCACATAAAAACTTTTATCTTTAGTTTGTTCCAACCGATCCTTATGAAACTTTGTATGCATGTTAAGGTAGAATTGACCCATGAGAGGAAAAAATTATCTTGATCCAATACAAAATTTCTAAATGGTGGCCATTTTAATTTTTTAAAATTTAAATTACCAAAGAATGGCTGATTTTATAAAAAATGTAAATGGCCACCATTTGGAAATTCTGTATTGGATCAAGATAGTTTAATTCTACCTTAACATACATTAAAATTTTCATATGGATCGGTTGGAACAATCTAAAGATAAAAATGTTTACGTGAAAAATACAAAATGGCGTGGGTGACGCAATAGACACGCCCAAGATAATTTTTTGACTCTGCGCACACACGTTCACTCATTTTTCCTGCCGGGCGCTGGTAGTTTGGCCCACGAAACTGTAAAACATGCGTCGTATCCGAGCTAAATCAATATTAAAAATATATACAAGTTTTGTACCATTAACTATATAGAATATACTTTCAATATAATGTAAAAATTTGAAGCCAAAAAACAAGGGTGCATGAGATCTACCAACTAATAACAATATTCTGTGTTAAATGATAAATCAATCAGCTGTTTTCGATAATACTGCATTGATTTTGATTATTATTTAACCCAACACACTAGTAACCTCTGGTGAGATGGTCCTGAACTTTATCTATAGGGATGGTCAAGTCTCGAAATTTCGGGAAATTTTCGGGAAATTTTTAATCTCGTTACACGCGACGAGATTACTTTTTGGCCGAGATTTTTATCGAGACGAGAATAAAAAAAAAAAAAAAAATTAAAAACGCCTGCAGAAAGTCAATGCAATACCCGCAATACAGGAGCGTGTTTTAGTTGCGTTTCCTTTTCGAAGGCGTTCTTAATTAATTAATTCTTTTAATGTAAATATTACTTTCATTATTTTAATAATATTACTTTAATAACATTTGAGAAGTTTTGTTAAGTGTAAGCAGTGTGAGGAATGTTTTATTACTATAAAAAAAGTCAAAACAAGTAACTATTTTATAAAAATTAATATTGCTTTTATTTTATGATTTATTTTATTTTAGGATAAGTTGAACTCTATCCTAACTGATATCACCATGTTTCCTAATCGTAGGCATTTTTAATAAGTTAGGCGTGATTAATAAAAAAATGTTATGCTGATGTTATTTAATGAAAGATTGTAAATATTCTTGCCTATTATCATTATTTTAGTATTTAAACAGTCATCTAACAATGTTACAAAATCAGGTAAAAATTTCGAACGTGCATTTCCCGTTGTGTATGAGAAGAGAAATCTCGTCTCGAAATTTTATGAGAAATAAAAAATCTCGTCTCGTCTCGTCTCAAACTAAAAATCCAATCTCGTCCATCCCTATTTATCTATTTTATTAGCTTTAATTTTAGCAAATTTTCCATAGAGGGAATAAGCTATTACTGTAGTACTCATTATAAGGCCTAGACCCGGGACCGATTTACTTTTTCGTTTTGAGGCCCCTAAAGGCCAAAAACACTATCCATTCAAATTCATATAAATGTCCGTTAGCACGAAAACTCGAGCAAAAATGATCCGATTTTGATGAAATTTGGTATAAACGTGTAAACCCACATTTATTCAAACGAGTTTGCAAACCAGCATGATCGGACTATGGGTATAGGGATTTAAGGGGGGTTTTATGGGGTAAAAATAGGCTTTTCCCATTTTTGACCCTAAAAACACAAAATTTCAGAACTTCTTTCCAAACCATTTAGTAGAGCTTAAAAAAACAAATAATTTAGTATGTTGAAGCATTATTGTGCGGCTAATGGTTATGGATAAAATTCCAAAAAATTTTAAATTTAAAATTCCCATGTTATTCTTATGGAGATTAAGTCAACTGTTGTAGTTTGCTTGTTTATAAATGTGTTTTGACTGAATTTGAAAAATACATTAATTTCTTACCAAAGTATTAACATTTTACAAGAAAAAACACTTTTTTACCCTCCCTGTTGCAGCAAACCTAAGTACTGTTTAAACTAATTCTATTTAAATAGGGAATAAATGTGATATTTTTAAGGAGGCATTTTAGTGTCAATCCAATCAGGCAAATGGAAATTTGCTTAGTCTGCAGGGATGCTGTGGCAGGGGTATTTTACATTACATGGGAAGTATGTTCTGTGTAAAGTCAATGATTGTACTCTCATTAAGTAATGTTCTGTATTTAATTAATTATTACTATATTTATCATCATAATTATTGTTCAATTAGTGATAGCTTATTTCCAAACCAAATCTGTATTTTTAAATCTCATTTCAATTTCATTAAGTATTGTTGTATCAAATGTTAGAGTCTCACTCACACAAGCCTACATAAAACACACACACTATCTCGGCTGTGTTGCCCGATGCAGGACGAATCCTATTGGTTAAAAAATGTGGCGTGATATGGACATGGATAAATTTGCGGTACCCCTCTAAGAAACATTGAGGTAGCGTCCCTTCCCCCTCCAAAAATAATGTTCAGTTGAAATGTAACTCTCCTCGGCTGAATACGTGCATTGCGCCGTATTTCGTTAGTCTTTCTCTATTTATAAACTTTTACCTCTAAAACCGCTTCTCGGACTCTCTAACGCTCTTCTATCGTTTGTCACGAACAGTTAATAAAACTTTCTCGACGTCAAACTCTGTAAAAGGTGTTTTTTTCTTAAATAAGTTATTTAGTATGTTATCGCTGCCGCCGCTAAGCAGTTACGTCCGCCGCGTCTTCGTCGCGAGTGCCTGTGTCAAGTGCCAACTTTAGTGGATTAGGATTACTGGATTCCCCACAAGTGTTCCCCAAAAGTGTGCACACTTCCCTCATCTCTACTCAACCTACAAGTTGGCTACCCTCTTCCCAAGACGTCGTCGTCTGCCATCCACTCACGGCTTCCGCCCATGTGCCACCTCTACTCTCTAGTGTTTCTTGTTACTCTTCACCCTTGGATTATTGGTGAGTCATATATTACCCTCTTTACGCCCCATTTAATGGTCCTTCGAGCCGGATGTTAATGGACAACGCTATGGACTTTAACAACCGTCTTATACAACAGTAATTAACTCTCAATGAACTTATTCACCATGTGCTAAAAAAACTGTGAAAAGTGCGTTTGCGTCTCCCTTAAAAACTATGAAATAATTATTCACTCGAGTAAACGAATTCGTTGACTGAAAATCTTACTTATAGTTGCAATATAATTTACTGCAATTTCGCTCAAATGATTTGGCGCTCGATCAGCCATTTTTGATTTGATCACGCCACCGATATCGTTTACTTCGTTCCCGCCCAACGTTGTTCCCGCCTCCATATTCAGCGTGTTGCATTCAACTTTGATGCGCCGACGCGACCTATGTTTGCAGATCACGTGGTCAGTTCCCCCTCACGCACCGAACGTTGCCTTTTCGCAGACATTGCGCTCCCTCCCCCCTCAAGCACAGCTGATCGGCGCGGTGCAGACTGATACGTCACTCGCTCCTGTCATATGATTGAGACACCAAAATAAACAAACCACAATACACTCTCTCTTTCTCACATTGTCATTGTTCTTAGATATTGTTACGTCTATTGCTATTTTGCTGTAATGTTAATAATAATTCATTGAGAATATTCCTGGATATATTTATTTTAGTAGGCTAAATAATTATTTCCCCTCATTCAACTCGCTTGTAAACAACTTAAGTTATTTGGACAATCTGATTATTTTCTGAGTTAGGTTCTATTTTAATTGGAGTATTTTAATTATGTATTTTAATTTTAATTTTTGATATCTTGCCAGGTATTATAGGCTCACATTTGCAGTTAAATAGCTATTAACTGTCTCTTTGTCATTGTAATGTATTTGGTTATATTTTACTCTATTGGTGAAAATGCATTTATGTTTTTGATGTGTTCGTTATTAATTAATTATTCTCTCATAAAACTTAATGATTAAGCTCACTGATCTTTTAAAATAATAAGTAGGCCAATAATTCTTATTATTTTATTATTTGTATTTTATTTTCAATTGTATTTAAAATAGGCTATCACAATGCCTACCCCAGCTGTCATCAAGTTTAGTACTTATGAGCGTTCAACCGCTTTAATTAAGGCAAGACTTGATAAAATCCTCACTGCTGTCCAGGCTATTGCTGCCCAACAACCACCACTTACTACAGTGCATTATAGATCGTTGGCGGCTTATGCTAAAGAATCTAACAAAAAGCGTGCCGACTTTGAAGGTAATCTTTACCGTGTTTTGGAAAATATAGATCCTGAGGAAGCTCCCACTACTCAGTTGTCTGATGATCAA